TGTTGGTCTGTGTTCATGAAGCAATCATCCTACAACACTAAAACTGCAATGTTCTAGACGTGTCATGTGTTGGTCTGTGTTCATGAAACAATCATCCTACAACAACTAAAACTGCAATGTTCTAGACCTGTCATGTGTTGGTCTGTGTTCATGAAACAATCATCCTACAACAACTAAAACTGCAATGTTCTAGACCTGTCATGTGTTGGTCTGTGTTCATGAAACAATCATCCTACACCAACTAAAACTGCAATGTTCTAGACCTGTCATGTGTTGGTCTGTGTTCATGAAACAATCATCCGACAAACAAATAAAACTGCAATGTTCTAGACGTGTCATGTGTTGGTCTGTGTTCATGAAACAATCATCCGACAACAACTAAAACTGCAATGTTCTAGACGTGTCATGTGTTGGTCTGTGTTCATGAAACAATCATCCTACAACACTAAAACTGCAATGTTCTAGACCTGTCATGTGTTGGTCTGTATTCATGAAACAATCATCCGACAACAACTAAAACTGCAATGTTCTAGACGTGTCATGTGTTGGTCTGTGTTCATGAAACAATCATCCGACAACACTAAAACTGCAATGTTCTAGACGTGTCATGTGTTGGTCTGTGTTCATGAAACAATCATCCTACAACAACTAAAACTGCAATGTTCTAGACGTGTCATGTGTTGGTCTGTGTTCATGAAACAATCATCCTACAACAACTAAAACTGCAATGCTCTAGACGTGTCATGTGTTGGTCTGTGTTCATTAAACAATTATCCTACAACACTAAAACTGCAATGTTCTAGACGTGTCATGTGTTGGTCTTGTTCATGAAACAATCATCCTACAACACTAAAACTGCAATGTTCTAGACGTGTCATGTGTTGGTCTGTGTTCATGAAACAATCATCCTACAACAAATAAAACTGCAATGCTCTAGACATGTCATGTGTTGGTCTGTATTCATGAAACAATCATCCTACAACACTAAAACTGCAATGTTCTAGACGTGTCATGTGTTGGTCTGTGTTCATGAAACAATCATCCTACAGCAACTAAAACTGCAATGTTCTAGACCTGTCATGTGTTGGTCTGTGTTCATTAAACAATTATCCTACAACACTAAAACTGCAATGTTCTAGACGTGTCATGTGTTGGTCTTGTTCATGAAACAATCATCCGACAACACTAAAACTGCAATGTTCTAGACGTGTCATGTGTTGGTCTGTGTTCATGAAACAATCATCCTACAACACTAAAACTGCAATGTTCTAGACCTGTCATGTGTTGGTCTGTGTTCATGAAACAATCATCCTACAACAACTAAAACTGCAATGTTCTAGACGTGTCATGTGTTGGTCTGTGTTCATGAAACAATCATCCTACAACAACTAAAACTGCAATGCTCTAGACGTGTCATGTGTTGGTCTGTGTTCATGAAACAATCATCCTACAACACTAAAACTGCAATGTTCTAGACCTGTCATGTGTTGGTTTGTATTCATGAAACAATCATCCTACAACACTAAAACTGCAATGTTCTAGACGTGTCATGTGTTGGTCTGTGTTCATGAAACAATCATCCTACAACACTAAAACTGCAATGTTCTAGACGTGTCATGTGTTGGTTGTTTTCAGCATGTTTATCATTTATTGTGTCATTATTTCCAGTTGTGTCCTGTGTGCAAGCCGTGATCTTACTTCATAACTTCGCCTTTTCCATAAATTTCCTTGACCTGTCAGCATTCCTGCTCTAACCCCAACCCTAACTGGTGAGTATGCAGACATGGAGACTGTCAGGGCCCTCCCCTGCCTACACCCGAAGATGGCATTTTTCAGGGCCTGTACCAAAATATCCCTAATTCACATCGCACTGTGGGAGGTCTCCCCCCCCCCCCCCCCCCCCCCAAAAAAAAACCCAGTTCAAGACAAACTTTAGGAGTCACTAAGCGAATTATAGAATACACTGAAGTTCTCACTAGAGACAACATTGCAGATACAGATAATCTATTTTGGGTGAACCAAAGAATGAGAACGGGAGGCAACTAACCCTAACCCCCCTATACTATCTGACCTACCGGGGAACTCCCTAGGAATTCCCTACCAAATAGGATAGCTGTCACGTAGCCTACTCTTTGTGACTAACAATAACCTCAAGAATGTTAATCTCCACAACTGGGAACCACTAAACCATCAATTTTTGCTCCTATCTGAAAAGGTTAGGTATCCTGCTTCCCCAACCTCGACATCTAAACAATCACAGATTGAACAGTAACAGAGATCTAAACAATCATAGATTGAACAGTGACAGAGATCTAAACAATCACAGGTTGAACAGTGACAGAGATCTAAACAATCACAGATTGAACAGTGACAGAGATCTAAACAATCACAGGTTGAACAGTGACAGAGATCTAAACAATCACAGATTGAACAGTGACAGAGATCTAAACAATCACAAACTGAACAGTGACAGAGATCTAAACAATCACAAACTGAACAGTGACAGAGATCTAAACAATCACAAACTGAACAGTGACAGAGATCTAAACAATCACAGATTGAACAGTAACGGAGATCTAAACAATCACAGATTGAACAGTGACAGAGATCTAAACAATCACAGATTGAACAGTGACATAAATCTAAACAATCACAGACTAAACAGTGACAGAGATCTAAACAATCACAGATTGAACAGTGACAGAGATCTAAACAATCACAGATTGAACAGTGACAGAGATCTAATTAATCATAGATTAAACAGTGACAGAAATCTAAACAATCACAGATTGAACAGTAACAGAGATCTAAACAATCACAGATTGAACAGTGACAGAAATCTAAACAATCAAAAACTGAACAGTGACAGAGATCTAAACAATCACAAACTGAACAGTGACAGAGATCAAAACAATCACAGACTGAACAGTGACATAGATCTAAACAATCACAAACTGAACAGTGACATAAATCTAAACAATCACAAACTGAACAGTGACAGAGATCTAAACAATCACAGAATGAACAGTGACAGAGATCTAAACAATCACAGATTGAACAGTGACATAAATCTAAACAATCACAGATTGAACAGTAACAGATATATAAACAATCACAGATTGAACAGTGACAGAGATATAAACAATCACAGATTGAACAGTGACAGAGATCTAAACAATCACAGATTGAACAGTGACAAAGATCTTAACAATCACAGATTGAACAGTGACAGAGATCTAAACAATTACAGATTGAACAGTAACAGAGATCTAAACAATCACAGATTGAACAGTAACAGAGATCTAAACAATCACAGATTGAACAGTGACAGAGATCTAAACAATCACAGGTTGAACAGTGACAGAGATCTAAACAATCACAGATTGAACAGTGACAGAGATCTAAACAATCACAAACTGAACAGTGACAGAGATCTAAACAATCACAAACTGAACAGTGACAGAGATCTAAACAATCACAAACTGAACAGTGACAGAGATCTAAACAATCACAGATTGAACAGTAACAGAGATCTAAACAATCACAGATTGAACAGTGACAGAGATCTAAACAATCACAGATTGAACAGTGACATAAATCTAAACAATCACAGACTGAACAAAGACAGATCTAAACAATCACAGATTGAACAGTGACAGAGATCTAAACAATCACAGATTGAACAGTGACAGAGATCTAAACAATCATAGATTAAACAGTGACAGAAATCTAAACAATCACAGATTGAACAGTAACAGAGATCTAAACAATCACAGATTGAACAGTGACAGAGATCTAAACAATCACAAACTGAACATTGACAGAGATCTAAACAATCACAGACTGAACAGTGACAGAGATCTAAACAATCACAAACTGAACAGTGACATAAATCTAAACAATCACAAACTGAACAGTGACAGAGATCTAAACAATCACAGACTGAACAGTGACAGAGTAAACAATCACAGACTGAACAGTGACAGAGATCTAAACAATCGCAAACTGAACAGTGACAGAGATCTAAACAATCACAGACTGAACAGTGACAGAGATCTAAACAATCACAAACTGAACAGTGACAGAGATCTAAACAATCACAAACTGAACAGTGACAGAGATCTAAACAATCACAGACTGAACAGTGACAGAGATCTAAACAATCGCAAACTGAACAGTAACAGAGATCTAAACAATCACAGACTGAACAGTGACAGAGATCTAAACAATCACAAACTGAACAGTGACAAAGATCTAAACAATCACAAACTGAACAGTGACAGAGATCTAAACAATCACAGACTGAACAGTGACAGAGATCTAAACAATCACAGACTGAACAGTGACATAAATCTAAACAATCGCAAACTGAACAGTGACAGAGATCTAAGCAATCACAAATTTAACATGACAGAAATCTAAACAATCATAGACTAAACAGTGACAGAAATATAAACAATCACAGACCAAACAGTGACAGAAATCTAAACAATCACAGATTGAACAGTGACAGAAATATAAACAAACATAGACCAAACAGTGACAGAAATCTAAACAAATCACAGATTGAACAGTGACAGAAATATAAACAAACATAGACCAAACAGTGACAGAAATCTAAACAATCACAGATTGAACAGTGACAGAAATATAAACAAACATAGACCAAACAGTGACAGAAATCTAAACAATCACAGATTAAACAGTGACAGAAATATAAACAAACATAGACCAAACAGTGACAGAAATCTAAACAATCACAGATTGAACAGTGACAGAAATATAAACAAACTTAGACCAAACAGTGACAGAAATCTAAACAATCACAGATTGAACAGTGACAGAAATATAAACAAACATAGACAAAACAGTGACAGAAATCTAAACAATCACAGATTGAACAGTGACAGAGATCTAAAGAAGCACGAATTGATCAGTGACAATGATCCATCACTTGCATTTAGTTTTAACTTAGAAAAGACCACGGTCGGCTAACCTACCTGTAGGAATTCTTCTCTCTGTGTCCGATCAAGATAAGGTCCCTCTTGGCCAAAGCTGACAGAAGTTTAGGTAACAGACCAACCTCTTCTCCTTCTCTGGGATGGGTAATCAACAAGTCCACATCATGACCTACTTCCTTGCCCCTGTGGAGACGAGGTGACCCAGTCAGTAAACTAGCTCACTTGTACAGGATAGGCATAAAAGAACCTGCTGCCTGTGATTGTGGAGCAGAAAGACAAACCCCTGAACACATACTGCAGTACTGCCCCTACCTCTCCCAGCAAAGACTGTGGATCTGGCCCAAAGGAGCCACATTGCAAGAGAAGCTATGGGGGACCGGTGGCGACCTTAAACGCACAATCCTATTTGTGACCCAGACGGGACTCAATGTTTAGCATGACTGATATCAAACGCAGAAGAAGAAGAAGGAGTAAACTAGCTGCTCTCTAGAAAACAATCATGGACACACCTTTCTTGGTGACCTCTAGACAAACATCCTGACACACCTTCTTTGTGATCTCTAGACAATAATTATAGACACGTCTTTCTTGGTCATATGTAATCAAAAAACATGGACACGCCTTTCTATATCATCTCTAGACGACAATCATAGACATGCCTTTCTTGGTCATATCTAGAAAACAATCATGGACATGCCTTTCTTGGTCATCTCTAGAAAACAATCATAGACACACCTTTCTTGGTCATCTCTAGAAAACAATCATGAACACACCTTTCTTAGTCATCTCTAGAAAACAGTCATAGACACGCCTTTCTTAGTCATCTCTAGAAAACAATCATAGACACGCCTTTCTTAGTCATCTCTAGAAAACAATCATAGACACGCCTTTCTTGGTCATCTCTAGAAAACAATCATAGACATACCTTTCTTGGTCATCTCTAGAAAACAATCATAGACACACCTTTCTTGGTCATCTCTAGAAAACAATCATAGACACGCCTTTCTTGGTCATCTCTAGAAAACAATCATGGACATGCCTTTCTTGGTCATCTCTAGAAAACAATCATGGACATGCCTTTCTTGGTCATCTCTAGAAAACAATCATGGACATGCCTTTCTTGGTCATCTCTAGAAAACAATCATGGACATGCCTTTCTTGGTCATCTCTAGAAAACAATCATGGACATGCCTTTCTTGGTCATCTCTAGAAAACAATCATGGACATGCCTTTCTTGGTCATCTCTAGAAAACAATCATGGACATGCCTTTCTTGGTCATCTCTAGAAAACAATCATGGACATGCCTTTCTTGGTCATCTCTAGAAAACAATCATGGACATGCCTTTCTTGGTCATCTCTAGAAAACAATCATGGACATGCCTTTCTTGGTCATCTCTAGAAAACAATCATAGACACACCTTTCTTAGTCATCTCTAGAAAACAATCATAGACACGCCTTTCTTGGTCATCTCTAGAAAACAGTCATAGACACGCCTTTCTTGGTCATCTTTAGAAAACAATCATAGACACGCCTTTCTTGGTCATCTCTAGAAAACAATAATGGACATGCCTTTCTTGGTCATCTCTAGAAAACAATCATGGACATGCCTTTCTTGGTCATCTCTAGAAAACAATCATAGACACGCCTTTCTTGGTAATCTCTAGAAAACAATCATAGACACACCTTTCTTGGTCATCTCTAGAAAACAATCATAGACACGCCTTTCTTGGTCATCTCTAGAAAACAATCATGGGCACACTTTTCTTGGTCATCTCTAGAAAACAATCATGGACATGCCTTTCTTGGTCATCTCTAGAAAACAATCATAGACACGCCTTTCTTAGTCATCTCTAGAAAACAATCATGGACATGCCTTTCTTGGTCATCTCTAGAAAACAATCATAGACACGCCTTTCTTAGTCATCTCTAGAAAACAATCAAAGACACGCCTTTCTTGGTCATCTCTAGAAAACAATCATAGACACGGCTTTCTTAGTCATCTCTAGAAAACAATCATAGACACACCTTTCTTAGTCATCTCTAGAAAACAATCATAGACACACCTTTCTTGGTCATCTCTAGACAACAATCATAGACACACCTTTTTGCTCAACTCTAGACAACAATCATAGACACGCCTTTCTTGGTCATCTCTAGAAAACAATCAAAGACACGCCTTTCTTGGTCATCTCTAGAAAACAATCATAGACACGGCTTTCTTAGTCATCTCTAGAAAACAATCATAGACACACCTTTCTTAGTCATCTCTAGAAAACAATCATAGACACACCTTTCTTGGTCATCTCTAGACAACAATCATAGACACACCTTTTTGCTCATCTCTAGACAACAATCATAGACACGCCTTTCTTGGTCATCTCTAGAAAACAATCATAGACATGCCTTTCTTGGTCATCTCTAGAAAACAATCATGGACATGCCTTTCTTGGTCATCTCTAGAAAACAATCATAGACACGGCTTTCTTAGTCATCTCTAGAAAACAATCATAGACACACCTTTCTTAGTCATCTCTAGAAAACAATCATAGACACACCTTTCTTGGTCATCTCTAGACAACAATCATAGACACACCTTTTTGCTCATCTCTAGAAAACAATCATGGACATGCCTTTCTTGGTCATCTCTAGAAAACAATCATGGGCACAACTTTCTTGTTCATCTCTAGACAACAATCATAGACATGCCTTTCTTGGTCATCTCTAGAAAACAATCATAGACACGCCTTTCTTGGTCATCTCTAGAAAACAATCATGGATATGCTTTTTTTTTTAAATTGCTGAACATGCGTCCACTGTGTCTGTTTACAGCATATCAGACTTGTACCTGCCATATCCTAATTAGGCTAGTGTTTTGGGTTAGTCTTACAGGAGAATCTATTTTTTCAGTGTCATCCATGCCGAAATACTTCTACAGGGGAATGTATTCCATCTGCCCACCCAGCCAATAACATTATCTTCCCTATACATGACTTCAGTGTGTACTTGTGACTGACATCCTCTCATCTGACAATGAGACATGACTTCACTGTGTACTTTTGACTGAAATCATCTCATCTGACAGTGAGACATGACTTCAGTGTATACTTGTGACTGACATTCTCTCATCTGACAATGAGACATGACTTCAGTGTGTACTTGTGACTGACATCCTCTCATCTGACAATGAGACATGACTTCACTGTGTACTTGTGACTGACATCCTCTCATCTGACAATGAGACATGACTTCAGTGTGTACTTGTGACTGACATCCTCTCATCTGACAATGAGACATGACTTCACTGTGTACTTGTGACTGAAATCCTCTCATCTGACAATGAGACATGACTTCAGTGTGTACTTGTGACTGACATCCTCTCATCTGACAATGAGACATGACTTCACTGTGTACTTGTGACTGAAATCATCTCATCTGACAGAGACATGACTTCACTGTGTACTTGTGACTGAAATCATCTCATCTGACAGAGACATGACTTCACTGTGTACTTGTGACTGAAATCATCTCATCTGACAATGAGACATGACTTCACTGTGTACTTTTGACTGAAATCATCTCATCTGACAATGAGACATGACTTCAGTGTGTACTTGTGACTGACATCCTCTCATCTGACAATGAGACATGACTTCACTGTGTACTTGTGACTGACATCCTCTCATCTGACAATGAGACATGACTTCAGTGTGTACTTGTGACTGACATCCTCTCATCTGACAATGAGACATGACTTCACTGTGTACTTGTGACTGAAATCATCTCATCTGACAGTGAGACATGACTTCACTGTGTACTTGTGACTGAAATCATCTCATCTGACAGTGAGACATGACTTCACTGTGTACTTTTGACTGAAATCATCTCATCTGACAATGAGACATGACTTCACTGTGTACTTTTGACTGAAATCATCTCATCTGACAATGAGACATGACTTCACTGTGTACTTTTGACTGAAATCATCTCATCTGACAGTGAGACATGACTTCACTGTGTACTTTTGACTGAAATCATCTCATCTGACAGTGAGATATGACTTCCGTGTATAATTTTGACTGAAATCATCTCATCTGACAGTGAGACATGACTTCAGTGTGTACTTGTGACTGACATTCTCTCATCTGACAGTGATACATGACTTCACTGTGTACTTGTGACTGACATCCTCTCATCTGACAGTGAGATGTGACTTCCGTGTATAATTTTGACTGAAATCATCTCATCTGACAGTGAGACATGACTTCAGTGTGTACTTGTGACTGACATCCTCTCATCTGACAATGAGACATGACTTCACTGTGTACTTTTGACTGAAATCATCTCATCTGACAGTGAGACATGACTTCAGTGTGTACTTGTGACTGACATTTTCTCATCTGACAGTGATACATGAGTTCACTGTGTACTTTTGACTGAAATCATCTCATCTGACAGTGAGACATGACTTCAGTGTGTACTTGTGACTGACATCCTCTCATCTGACAGTGATACATAACTTCAGTGTATACTTTTGACTGACATCATCTCATCTGACAATGAGATATGACTTCACTGTGTACTTGTGACTGACATCCTCTCATCTTACAGTAAGACATGAATTCACTGTGTTCTTTTGACTGAAACCATCTCAACTGACAGTGAATCATGACTTCACTGTGTACTTCTGACTGACATCATCTCACTTACCAGTAAGAAATGACCTCAGTGTGTAGTGTTGACTGGTATTATCTTACCTGACAGTAAGGCATAACTTCATTGTGAACTGTTGACTAACTTTATCTCACCTTATAAGATATAACTACAGTGTGTACTGTTGACTGACATTATCTCACCTTATAAGATATAACTACAGTGTGTAGTGTTGACTGACATTATCTCACCTTTTAAGATATAACTACAGTGTGTACTGTTGACTGACATTATCTCACCTTAAAAGATATAACTACAGTGTGTACTGTTGACTGACATTATCTCACCTTATAAGATATAACTACAGTGTGTACTGTTGACTAACTTTATCTCACCTTATAAGATATAACTACAGTGTGTACTGTTGACTGACATTATCTCACCTTATAAGATATAACTACAGTGTGTACTGTTGACTGACATTATCTCACCTTATAAGATATAACTACAGTGTGTAGTGTTGACTGACATTATCTCACCTTTTAAGATATAACTACAGTGTGTACTGTTGACTGACATTATCTCACCTTAAAAGATATAACTACAGTGTGTACTGTTGACTGACATTATCTCACCTTATAAGATATAACTACAGTGTGTACTGTTGACTAACTTTATCTCACCTTATAAGATATAACTACAGTGTGTACTGTTGACTGACATTATCTCACCTTATAAGATATAACTACAGTGTGTACTGTTGACTGACATTATCTCACCTCCGAAATCCACCGACACAAGTCACAATTGTTCCTGGCCAGATGGCCTCTGCCTCTCTGTGAACAATGGCCACAAATGTGTCTGCTTCCTGTCGGGAGACTGGACAGCCCAAATCTTCGTAGAAAGCTAAGCCTGAAGATGATAGCAGCAGATATGAGAGGAATCTGATCAGTGACCGGGTTATCAAATATCCACGAACACAAATGCAGCTTAGTGGTGCAGTAGATAGCAGTCTCATGTATACTGTGACCACTGTCAAACATTCTTGCAGCTTAGTGGTGCAGTAAAAAGCAGTCTCATGCATACTGTGACTGCTGTCAAACATATCACAATAAATCAAGCTGACATGGCGACAGTTAATTACATAAATTACTATATGCAGACAGTTGTTGAACTATGCGTTCTTCTCCTAGCGCAACTGCACCATGTTTAGTGGATGTTGGTTGCAATGCCTAACTTGACACAAATGCTACCATATCCACACATTTGAGCTGACATGCCAGGCAGAAGCATTCAGTTGGTCAGAATGGTGCCCCCTTAAGCATGACGCTCTGTAGTTGTTGCTGGTCTACTGTGACAGCCTAGTGATACAGTCACAAGGAGGTGCAGGTCTCTGCAAGTGTTTCAGAAAACTGAGAGTGAGAAAGCAACAGTTGTGGGTGGCTGTAGTTGTTGCTGGTCTACTGTGACAGCCTAGTGATACAGTCACAAGGAGGTGCAGGTCTCTGCAAGTGTTTCAGAAAACTGAGAGTGAGAAAGCAACAGTTGTGGGTGGCTGTAGTTGTTGCTGGTCTACTGTGACAGCCTAGTGATACAGTCACAAGGAGGTGCAGGTCTCTGCAAGTGTTTCAGAAAACTGAGAGTGAGAAAGCAACAGTTGTGGGTGGCTGTAGTTGTTGCTGGTCTACTGTGACAGCCTAGTGATACAGTCACAAGGAGGTGCAGGTCTCTGCAAGTGTTTCAGAAAACTGAGAGTGAGAAAGCAACAGTTGTGGGTGGCTGTAGTACGTCTGTTGGGTGGCTGTAGTACGTCTGTTGGGTGGCTGTAGTACGTCTGTTGGGTGGCTGTAGTACGTCTGTTGGGTGGCTGTAGTACGTCTGTTGGGTGGCTGTAGTACGTCTGTTGGGTGGCTGTAGTACGTCTGGTGGGTGGCTGTAGTACGTCTGTTGGGTGGCTGTAGTACGTCTGTTGGGTGGCTGTAGTACGTCTGGTGGGTGGCTGTAGTACGTCTGTTGGGTGGCTGTAGTACGTCTGTTGGGTGGCTGTAGTACGTCTGGTGGGTGGCTGTAGTACGTCTGGTGGGTGGCTGTAGTACGTCTGGTGGGTGGCTGTAGTACGTCTGTTGGGTGGCTGTAGTACGTCTGTTGGGTGGCTGTAGTACGTCTGTTGGGTGGCTGTAGTACGTCTGGTGGGTGGCTGTAGTACGTCTGTTGGGTGGCTGTAGTACGTCTGGTGGGTGGCTGTAGTACGTCTGGTGGGTGGCTGTAGTACGTCTGTTGGGTGGCTGTAGTACGTCTGTTGGGTGGCTGTAGTACGTCTGTTGGGTGGCTGTAGTACGTCTGGTGGGTGGCTGTAGTACGTCTGTTGGGTGGCTGTAGTACGTCTGGTGGGTGGCTGTAGTACGTCTGGTGGGTGGCTGTAGTACGTCTGGTGGGTGGCTGTAGTACGTCTGTTGGGTGGCTGTAGTACGTCTGGTGGGTGGCTGTAGTACGTCTGGTGGGTGGCTGTAGTACATCTGTTGGATGGCTGTAGTACGTCTGTTGGGTGGCTGTAGTACGTCTGTTGGGTGGCTGTAGTACGTCTGTTGGGTGGCTGTAGTACGTCTGTTGGGTGGCTGTAGTTGGTCTGTTGGGTGGCTGTAGTACGTCTGGTGGGTGGCTGTAGTACGTCTGTTGGGTGGCTGTAGTACGTCTGTTGGGTGGCTGTAGTACGTCTGGTGGGTGGCTGTAGTACGTCTGTTGGGTGGCTGTAGTTGGTCTGTTGGGTGGCTGTAGTACGTCTGTTGGGTGGCTGTAGTACGTCTGTTGGGTGGCTGTAGTACATCTGTTGGGTGGCTGTAGTACGTCTGTTGGGTGGCTGTAGTACGTCTGTTGGGTGGCTGTAGTACGTCTGTTGGGTGGCTGTAGTACGTCTGTTGGGTGGCTGTAGTACGTCTGTTGGGTGGCTGTAGTACGTCTGTTGGGTGGCTGTAGTACGTCTGTTGGGTGGCTGTAGTACGTCTGTTGGGTGGCTGTAGTACGTCTGTTGGGTGGCTGTAGTACGTCTGTTGGGTGGCTGTAGTTGGTCTGTTTTCTCTCAGAGCTTGCAAGTGCAGGACACTTGAACAAAAGGTGGTCCAGTAGTTTCAGTGACAGAATGTCTTCACAAGGCTATATGTCAGGAATTGATTCTTCACAAGGCTATATGTTAGGAATTGATCCTTCACAAGGCTATATGTCAGGAATTGATCCTTCACAAGGCTATATGTCAGGAATTGATCCTTCACAAGGCTATATGTCAGGAAATGATCCTTCACAAGGCTATATGTCAGGAATTGATCCTTCACAAGGCTATATGTCAGGAATTGATCCTTCACAAGGCTATATGTCAGGAATTGATCCTTCACAAGGCTATATGTCAGGAATTGATCCTTCACAAGGCTATATGTCAGGAATTGATCCTTCACAAGGCTATATGTCAGGAATTGATCCTTCACAAGGCTATATGTCAGGAATTGATCCTTCACAAGGCTATATGTCAGGAATTGATCCTTCACAAGGCTATATGTCAGGAATTGATCCTTCACAAGGCTATATGTCAGGAATTGATCCTTCACAAGGCTATATGTCAGGAATTGATCCTTCACAAGGCTATATGTCAGGAATTGATCACGCTTAGACAGATACTGACTCTGGTATACCCTGCTTAACACTGAAAACCGGCTGGAGCATCTCCTGCTAAAACAGTAGCCCCCAAATCTAAACAGTGGCTGTGAGTGCGCTGCTTGAGGTCATGTGTCTGTGCAGCAGAAGACAAGATCAGATACATACCCCAGACCACCCTCCAGTCAGAGCTGGGACATCCGGCACCTCTCACATCTTCTATGGTTGTCCAGCCCTTGCTGATCCAGGACTTTGCTGTGGCCGAGCCAACTCCAAATATACTTGTAAACATCTGTAACAGAGATCAAGGTCACAGACGTAAATCTTCTTCGCCATCGTTTGACTTAGTAACCTAACTGTGTTGTGTATGTTTACAGTATTGCTATATTTGCACCTATAGGTGACATATTCAGCTTCATCTGGCATTTGTTCACTGGATCAGCCTTCTTGATTGGTTTCATACGACACGACGTAGCCTTATTTGTGTGGTACTGCCCCTAGATAACCCATCAAGGGCAACGTTGTGTAGACTTGTAGGACCTCAAGGGATGCAGAGGCGGATCACGGGCATTTCCCACCATCCAATGTATCCATATGTGCAGACCCAAGACATGAGGCTCTAGTCCTGGGCTCACCCAAGGAATCGTCACATCTTACACACAACTACTTAACCTGACACCCGCAGGCTGAGCTTTCCACTCATTACAAGCTCCGCCCTCTAGGGATCAACAGGGAGCAGCCCTCAGGTCCAGGATTTCGATGACCACACAAACTGGCATAATCTTCTTCAGCACATTAGACACTTGTAATGTTGTTGCGTCAGTACACACAGCACAACAGTACACACAGCCCGACAGTACACACAGCACAGCAGTACACACAGCACAACAGTACTCACAGCACAACAGTACACACAGCACAACAGTACACACAGCACGACAGTACACACAGCACGACAGTACACACAGTACGACAGTACACACAGCACGACAGTACACACAGCACAACAGTACACACAGCACAGCAGTACACACAGCACAACAGTACACACAGCACAACAGTACTCACAGCACAACAGTACACACAGCACAACAGTACACACAGCACGACAGTACACACAGCACGACAGTACACACAGCATGACAGTATAGGAACAGCATGCATCTGGCTAGGCTTCTCAATTAGTCCGGACACCCTGGTGAGTGGTTTCAATGGTAGCAAACATCTGAACTTTTCTGTCAAACAGCAGGACAACTTATAGTCATACATCTCAACCTTGTGGGGCAATTTTATATGAGAAAGTTATGAGGAACTTGAATTCTACATCTACCTTCATTTGTTGAAACCATTTCGATGAGACAATGTCTTCCACTTCTTTGCTAGAGCCGTTGTCCAGGATGTCCTGTAGAAATAAATGTATATAATCAAATCACAACATTACATAACACAAATGTATACACACAAAAAAAAGGTAAAGTCGGGAGATGTGAACCAGTGTCATCGCACACAATTATAAACTATAAGGGCTCTGCCACCAGTAGGGGCCGCTGATAAGAATTTTCCACCTGTGTCGCCGTCTGCATGTAACTCTGTAGATACAGCGACGTTCCTCCATTTACCCCAGAGTGTCAACTCTGGTACCCATTTCCTAGAGGCTGGGTGAACCCCGGGAACCGCCCGGTTTCGAACACCGACCGTGGACTGCAGCGAGTCGCAGCTGGATTTGAAAGCGAGCCTCTTATCGACTGCGTCAACGCGCCTACCGAATACACTCAATCAAACAACAACATTACACAAAACAAATGTATACAATCAAACCACAACATTTCACAACACAAATGTATACAATCAAACCACAACATTACACAACACAAATGGTTACAATCAAACCACACCATTACACAAAACAAATGGTTACAATCAAACCACACCATTACACAAAACAAATGGTTACAATCAAACCACAACATTACACAAAACAAATGTATACAATCAAACCACAACATTACACTAAACAAATGTATGTAATCAAACCTAAATACTACACAATACAAATGTATATAAACAATCAAACCACATTACACAATGCAAATGTATACAAACAATGAAATCACAACACTACACAACACAAAGGCACACACCCAATAAAACTACAACAAAACAAACAAACCACAACATTACACAAAACAAATATCTCAGGCCAGTCAACAGTGTGGCAGAAAATAAATATCTCAATCTATTTGCCTCAAGTTCAAATAGGAAAAAAAAAAGACATGGGACTGCTTCAACCTGCCATAAGGGCTTAACTTTATTTGTGTCCTTGTTCCTTTGTGGTTTGGTAGTGTCCCTTTTTTGTGCCTGATGTAGTGCTACTTTGTGGTTTGGTAGTGTCCCTTTTTTGTGCCTGATGTAGTGCTACTTTGTGATTTGGTAGTGTCCCTTTTTTGTGCCTGATGTAGTGCTACTTTGTGGTTTGTTAGTGTCCCTTTTTTGTGCCTGATGTAGTGCTACTTTGTGGTTTGGTAGTGTCCCTTTTTTGTGCCTGATGTAGTGCTACTTTGTGGTTTGGTAGTGTCCCTTTTTTGTGCCTGATGTAGTGCTACTTTGTGGTTTGGTAGTGTCCCTTTTTTGTGCCTGATGTAGTGCTACTTTGTGGTTTGGTAGTGTCCCTTTTTTGTGCCTGATGTAGTGCTACTTTGTGGTTTGGTAGTGTCCCTTTTTTGTGCCTGATGTAGTGCTACTTTGTGGTTTGGTAGTGTCCCTTTTTTGTGCCTGATGTAGTGCTACTTTGCTCTCCTTGTGACTGTCGGTGTTGGAGCTGATTCCTTTGCTGGCTGTCCAAGCCTGCCATCACTGATTGCACGAGGGCAGGCGCACCCTCCCAAAACAAACAAGCTGCCAATAAGCCACCGTGCCACTCACAAGGCCCTTTTCAGGGTCCCATATTTAACTTCTTTTTTTTTTTTTTTTTTTTTGCTTTTTAGTTTTTTTCACCTCATACATGTGTATGAGCGTAAGATGTCCGAACCCACGGCTACGTTTGATTTCTCTTTGAGGGCAGAGACGGCTTCATCCACCGTGAACTCATGATCTATGTAGTGTGGCACATTACCGGTATTCAGGTTCAGGTTCTAAACCTCGTGCACTTGCCGCCTTCTATCTCTTTCCTGTTGACCTAGGCTGTCGTTGGAGCTAATTTCGTAAAAGTAATTTTCCGAAAGTGTCCGCTTTTTCTTTGTCTGAGACAGCGGTGACGGGAAATTTTATGGTGGGAATCTGTTTTCGTTGTTTGGCTGGATGGCTTTGATCCAGCTCCAGACTTCTTTTGACAGGGTCCTAGGCGTAAGGCTCTGGCAGAATGACCTCCAGCTGACTTCTTTCGCCTTTCTGATGGCTCTGTTGGTCTTGATCCTTTCTACTTTGTAAAGCTCAAAGTTTATGTTGGTTCTGAGGCGCCTGTACCTTTGCAGGGCCTTTTTCCTCTCTGTGTGGGTCACAGAGCAGGAGTCATTCCACCGGGCTGCTGAAATCTGGTGCCTTTTTATAGCTGGGCCCAGGCCTCTTTTGACCACAAGTACAATCCTCTCTGGCATATTTTGTTTGGGGTATGCCTGGTAGCTATGCAGAGGATTGTGTCAAAACAACATACTGTAACAACATGGGAGTATATCCTACCAACATACTGTTACAACCTGGGAGTATATCATACCAACATACTGTAACAACATGGGAGTAACTATATTGCCGACTCCCTACTGAGAGGACGTGTTTTTGCCTAGCTCTTACTATTTGGATTTTTTATTCTAATTGTGCCTGTGAACTAGCGACGTTTTTACTATCGTTATGATCGTTATTCCGTTGAACGTGCCGTGAAATATTGTTTCACGCAATTATATGTCATGATTGCATGCAAATGTGGTTTTTGTAGCATTCTCAAACTTATTTTGAGCAGAAATATGCCGATGATACAGACACATGAACCACAGATGCGAAGGTCAGAGGGTGTTTTGTCCGCGTCACTGAGATTTATCACCACCCAGAACACTGGCTAACCGAGAGACGTCCTGCAAGTGTCACACTATACAAACGAAACATGTGTGACTACGATAGGACTGAGCTTTTTCAAAAGATAGTAATGCAAGCGAAAAGAAGAGAAAGGAAACTGCTAGCAGCTGCACTCACACGCTGAACTATAGGCATCCGGGCCATCCCATTTTCTAATGATACACCGTAGAACATTATACGCGCAGTATTTCCAACGGCTTGTAAAGGCGACTTGCCCGCTACTATCTGTGTGAGACAGAAAGAGGACAATACATCTTACACCAGTAAAACGTGGAATATGAAACTGTTTTAACACCAGGCCATCAACCGTTCCCTCGGACACCTAGACCGTTTAATGGAGTAACATTTGTTCTGACGCAGGCGGGTTCACGAATGGAAGAAGAAATAATTAGAGACACTCGGAATTCTCTTCTTTTAAATATTTCACCTTTCTTTGCGAGGACATCTCATCAGGCTACACCAGATACACCTGAGAACACGACATTCTCTAAGCACCCAATTTACCTGCAGGATTCAAGTTCACACAGCTCTACCCTGCTACAACAGTTCTATCTGTGACCCCGTGGCCACCTAGAAATGAATGTAGAGACACAGCACTTGATTTGCTGTTCTCAGGCGTTGATCGATGCGCGCAAAAACTGTATGGCTGACAACACGCAGGTTGGATATCGAAACACAAGACTCAATGAACGCTATACTTTTGCTGTAATTAGTTATGCGGTGACCCCCCCCCCCTCCTTCTCTCTCTCTCCATCTCTCTCTTTCTGTCTAGGCCGATTTATGTATGTATTGGCTGAGCTGTTAATGATTATTATTAGTCATCGCTAGTGTATTACTATTGTTAGAACCTAGAAAATGTGAATGCAACCCCTGGTGGCTTGCAGAATACATTGTTCAAGCAATGTTATCCTACCACAAAGTATGCATCTCTTTCTGAAACCATCCCTCAAGTGCACCTTTCTACGGCAGTCCTTTATTTCAGCCAACTTTCTGTCGCAGCAGGGACTGTATCTGATCTGACTGAGCCATTTGAATCTACTGTCCCCTTCTTGGAGCCAGTCATGCCAACCTTGTGTGCATAGGGAATTCCCTGTGTCAGTGTCTTACATATGTGTGGTCATTCTGCATGATTCTTCCCTCGTCTCACTCTCTCCCTCTCCCGATATATTTATAACTATATATAAATATATGTAGTCATGTGTGCTGCATCAGCAAGCAAGCGGGCGGCAGATAATGAGTGTATGTATGTGTGTGTATTTGTTGCTTTTTTGCTCCATTTGTAGACTGGAAGTATATAGTTTCGTTGCCCAGCCTCTGAGTTGAGTGCATGGCGTGACACTGTGAGCTGCGGATTTCATTTGGAATGTTTTTCAACTGACCAACGTGGTGGTGTGATTTGTAGATTCAGAAAATGGCGCAATGCCGGTTGTTGCAATATTGGTGGGGCCATTATTTGATTAAAATTGATCGCGTGTGCAACTGTTGATCTTTTAATGACTTCTGCTACCATCAATGATGAACTGCATTTCTAACATTGGACTGTTTGTGTTAGCACTTCGGATGGCTACCATATGCTTTTATTGCAAGTGTATGCTAGATTTGCTGAGAGCAGCAGTTTGTCAGTCTTTCCACAAGGGGCTGTGATAAACATTCTGTGTGCTTTTCGTTGGCACAGGAGCGGAGCAAAGATGGGGTGACCCGTTCGCTATGAAGCTGAAATTGAAATTACCAGATTACCAGATTACATGGGAGTATATCCTACCAACATACTGTAACAACATGTGAGTATATCATACCAACATACTGTAAAAACATGGGAGTATATTACACCAACATACAGTAAAAACATGGGAGTATATCCTACCAACATACTGTAACAACATGGGAGTATATCATACCAACATACTGTAACAACATGGGAGTATATCACACCAACATACAGTAAAAACATGGGAGTATATCCTACCAACATACTGTAACAACATGGGAGTATATCACACCAACATACAGTAAAAACATGGGAGTATATCCTACCAACATACTGTAACAACATGGGAGTATATCATACCAAAATACTGTAACAACATGAGAGTATATCACACCAACCAACTGTAACAACATGGGAGTATATCATACCAAAATACTGTAACAACATGAGAGTATATCACACCAACATACAGTAAAAACATGGGAGTATATCCTACCAACATACTGTAACAACATGGGAGTATATCACACCAACATACAGTAAAAACATGGGAGTATATCCTACCAACATACTGTAACAACATGGGAGTATATCATACCAAAATACTGTAACAACATGAGAGTATATCACACCAACCAACTGTAACAACATGGGAGTATATCATACCAAAATACTGTAACAACATGAGAGTATATCACACCAACCTACTGTAACAACATGGGAGTATATCACACCAACATACTGTAACAAACATGGGAGTATATCATACCAATATTCTGTAACAACATGGGAGTATATCATACCAACATTCTGTAACAATATGGCAGTATATCATGCCAACCTACCGTAAGAACATGGGAGTATATAATGCCAACCTACAGTAACAATATGGGACTATATCATACCAACCTACTGTAACAAAATCTGAGTATATTATCTCAACCTACTGTAACAATATGGGAATATATCATGCCAACATACTGTAACAATATGGGAGTTTATCATGCCAACATACTGTAACAATAAGGGAATATATCATGTCAACATACTGTAACAACACAGGACTATATCGTGCCAACATATTGTAACAATATGGGAATATATCATGCCAACATACTGTAACAATATGGGACTATATCATGCCAACATACTGTAACAATATGGGAATATATCATGCCAACATACTGTAAAAATATGGGAATATATCATGCCAATATACTGTAACAATATGGGAATATATCATGCCAACATACTGTAACAACACAGGACTATATCATGCCAACATACTGTAACAATATGGGAATATATCATGCCAACATACTGTAACAACACAGGACTATATCGTGCCAACATGCTGTAACAACATGGGAGTTTATCGTGCCAACATACTGTAACAACACAGGACTATATCGTGCCAACTTACTGTAACAACACAGGAGTATATCATGCCAACATACTGTAACAACATGGGAGTATATCATGCCAACTTACTGTAACAACACAGGACTATATCGTGCCAACATACTGTAACAATATGGGAATATATCATGCCAACATACTGTAACAACACAGGAGTATATCATGCCAACTTACTGTAACAACATGGGAGTTTATCGTGCCGACATACTGTAACAACATGGGAGTATATCATGCCAACTTACTGTAACAACACAGGACTATATCGTGCCAACTTACTGTAACAACACAAGAGTATATCGTGCCAACCTACTGTAACAACACAAGAGTATATCGTGCCAACATACTGTAACAACACAGGACTATATCGTGCCAACCTACTGTAACAACACAGGACTATATCGTGCCAACCTACTGTAACAACACAAGAGTATATCGTGCCAACCTACTGTAACAACACAAGAGTATATCATGCCAACCTACTGTAACAACACAGGACTATATCGTGCCAACTTACTGTAACAACACAGGACTATATCGTGCCAACATACTGTAACAACATGGGAGTTTATCGTGCCAACATACTGTAACAACATGGGAGTATATCATGCCAACTTACTGTAACAACACAGGACTATATCGTGCCAACTTACTGTAACAACACAAGAGTATATCGTGCCAACCTACTGTAACAACACAAGAGTATATCGTGCCAACATACTGTAACAACACAAGAGTATATCGTGCCAACCTACTGTAACAACACAAGAGTATATCGTGCCAACCTACTGTAACAACACAAGAGTATATCGTGCCAATATACTGTAACAACACAAGAGTATATCGTGCCAACCTACTGTAACAACACAAGAGTATATCGTGCCAACTTACTGTAACAACACAGGACTATATCGTGCCAACATACTGTAACAACACAAGAGTATATCGTGCCAACCTACTGTAACAACACAAGAGTATATCCTGCCAACCTACTGTAACAACACAAGAGTATATCGTGCCAACCTACTGTAACAACACGCAGCACATGACCTCCAATGTCCTTCAACCTAGACAGCTGGCGTGGATCTCGCACCTCAAAAGGTAAGGACTTCAAGAGACAGGAAGCTCTTCTGAAGGCCAAGGCACGAGAGTAATCCTGACTGCCATCTTTGAGCTCTGCATGCAACTGTAAGACCTCCAAGGCATCCTACACAACATAATGAACACAGTGGGATCAACACAGTCACATCTCCAAGGCATCCTACACAACATAATGAACACAGTGGGATCAACACAGTCACACCTTCAAGGTATCCTACACAATATAATGAACACAGTGGGATCAACACAGTCACACCTCCGAGGCATCCTGCACAACATAATGAACACAGTGGGATCAGCACAGTCAGAAATCCAAGTACATGTGTAGACACACACACACCCCCAGACTAGAACCCAGGAGAACTCTCTGACCATCCACTATAACACAACATACACAGACTAGTACACGTGTAGATACACACACACACCCCCAGACTAGAACCCAGGAGAACTCTCTGACCATCCACTATAACACAACATACACAGACTAGTACATGTGTAGACACACACACCCCCAGACTAGAACCCAGGAGAACTCTCTGACCATCCACTATAACACAACATACACAGACTAGAACATGTGTAGACATACACGCACACACACAGGAGAACTCTCTGACCATCCACTATAACACAACATATACAGACTAGTACTTGTGTAGACACACACACACACAGGAGAACTCTCTGACCATCCACTATAACACAACATACACAGACTAGTACATGTGTAGACACACACATATCCCCAGACTAGAACCCAGGAGAACTCTCTGACCATCCACTATAACACAACATACACAGACTAGTACATGTGTAGACACACACACACACCCCCAGACTAGAACCCAGGAGAACTCTCTGACCATCCACTATAACACAACATACACAGACTAGTACGTGTGTACACACACACACACATCCCCAGACTAGAACCCAGGAGAACTCTCTGACCATCCACTATAACACAACATACACAGACTAGTACATGTGTAGACACACACACACCACCAGACTAGAACCCAGGAGAACTCTCTGACCATCCACTACAACACAACATACACAGACTAGTACATGTGTAGACACACACACACCCCCAGACTAGAACCCAGGAGAACTCTCTGACCATCCACTATAACACAACATACACAGACTAGTACATGTGTAGACACACACACCCCCAGACTAGAACCCAGGAAAACTCTCTGACCATCCACTATAACACAACATACACAGACTAGTACATGTGTAAACACACCCAGGAGAACTCTCTGACCATCCACTATAACACAACATACACAGACTAGTACATGTGTAAACACACCCAGGAGAACTCTCTGACCATCCACTATAACACAACACACACAGGCTAATGCCAGGAAATCCTAGTTGTGGCACACTAGTTTGGTTTGAAAAATAGGTGTTGCAGTCTGAATGTTTAGTTTTAGAGGCTTTAGTTTGGTTTGGAAATGGAATGTTTTCTTTAGAGGCTTTAACATGTCGCAGTCTCTAGTCTAGTTTGGTTTGTAAATCCTAGTTTGCAGCGTTAACAACTGCTTTAGTTATTGCACAAACCAGCCTGGTACTTTACTGACACTAGTTACAAGGTCCGACAATTAAGTAATGAGACTAATTCCATAAAAATTAAAATAATCAACAATTGAAAATATAACCTGCCTTTTATTCAAAGTAGGCCCCTTGTGCATTGATACAGCAAGTGGCACGATTTAACAAACACTGAAACGACCTCTGTAGTTCTTATGTTGTTACGACCCTTTAACTCTTTGGATGTCAGTAATATTGTCCTTTCAATATCAACTTTAATTTTGGGAATAGAAAATAGTCACAGGGAGACAAATCTGGGGGAATAGGGTGAATGGTTCAGAACACGCACTTGTTTTGGGGCCAAAAATTACTGTACGACTACCATCATTTGAGCCGGGGCATTGTCATGAAGAAGAAACAAACTGCCATGCGTTGAATACAAACCGGCAAGCAACTTTTTTTTGGCCCAAATCTCCCACTTATATTATACCAATAGTCTCTGTATTAACACCAAATTAATCTACCATCATCCTCACAGTCAAATAATGATCTTCTTGTATCCGTTCTCAAAATTTTGCAAAGAGTTTCTCATTGCGAGCAGAAATTGGGCGTCCAGGTCTAGTTGCATTAGTGATCATTTCCACACCACTTTTGAATCTTGAATATCAGCTGAGTTCACGAGATAAACAATTATCCCCGTAAACTTGTCGCATAAATTCAACTGTTGCAATGGTGCTTTTTCTGAGTTTTAAACAGAATTTAATGTCAGTTTTTTTTTTTTTTTTTTTGTGCTCCATACTGATTACGTAACAATGCACCTCTGACTAGGTTAACAAAATGGCGGCTTGTTTGTTGTCTGCCTATCGGGCAACGATGAAAAGTTGCCAGATCATAAATGAAAGTTGCCCTTTAAGATTCCATGCTGTGAATCAAAGTACCTGATCAAAGCAATGCCATACCAATTAAAACATAGTTACCCACACAGAACTACAGGCTACACCAAGCTGCCTGACCATGACAGTGATAACTTCTTTGGAGGTTGAACAGGCTGTAATTTACCCTGATGGCTTGCCATGCAGAGTGAGATGTCTGTAATCTCAGGTCGTCACATGTTTAGGCAGAAGGTGGTCAGATGTTTTGGATAGCCGTTGGTCAGATGTTAAATAGTAGTTATGGGGGCTGCGTAGTCTTGAGGCATGGTGTCTGCCATGAGTGCTAGATGTTCCAGGTTCAATCCCTGGTAAGGGCTGGGATTGTTTTCACATCTACATGGACTTCTAGTAATTCCGCCTGGTCTCTAGTTAGTGAGATCGGACGATAAACTGAGGTTAGCCACATTTAGCCATGATTTTCTTAGTCCTCCACTACAGACTGTATCAAAGGTCTTTCTGAGGTCTATGGGGGTAGAAGAGGGGTCGCTCAAAGGTCTTTCTGAGGTCTATGGGGGTAGAAGAGGGGTCGCTCAAAGGTCTTTCTGAGGTCTATGGGGGTAGAAGAGGGGTCACTCAAAGGTCTTTCTGAGGTCTATGGGGGTAGAAGAGGGGTGCTCAAAGGTCTTTCTGAGGTCTATGGGGGTAGAAGAGGGGTGCTCAAAGGTCTTTCTGAGGTCTATGGGGGTATAAGAGGGGTGCTCAAAGGTCTTTCTGAGGTCTATGGGGGTAGAAGAGGGGTGCTCAAAGGTCTTTCTGAGGTCTATGGGGGTAGAAGAAAGGTCGCAGTTTTGTTCTTTTCCTGGAGCTGGTGAGTAACCAAAATTATATAAACGGTCTCTCGCTTTTTTCGGAAACCAGGCAGGAGGTCTTCATCGAGATGTACAGTAAGACGGTTGAGGAGAATTCTAGCCAGGATTTTACCAGCAACAGACGGAAGAGAGATTCCACAGTGATTGTCATATACCTGTTGGTTTCTTTACATTTATACAAGTGTATGATTGTTGCATCTTTGAAGTCTTGTGGAAGTATTTCTTGCTGCCGTATGAGTTGGAATATTTGGTGTAGTTTCTCAGTGAGAACATTAGCACTTTCTTTGAAGCAGACAATCTCAAGACATATGAGACAACAACATGGACACCAGGTAGGAGACACAGAGGAACATTGGTCAGATGGTACTACAAAGTAAGACAACAGCAAATAGACTTGAAGATGTATGTACCTTCTTGAACAGATGGCTCTCTTCTACAGGCAGAACTGCTGATGCCTTCAGACACTCCACCAACCATCCCATAGACACCACACAGGCTGCTGTGGGAAGTTGGAGTCCATCTTTGGCTGCTTGTTTTTCTACTTGTTCTAGAGACTCAAACTCGGTCACAATGTGTGTTACTGTGTGGCTGCGGGGCTGATACAATTAACTTATTAATTTGCACACAAATAGTTGTTGTCATACTTGCTGCAATATTTATTTGTGAATGCAGATTTTCAACATAAACCAGAATCTGAAAGGTCTGGCAACTACTTGCCAACAAACAGACCACTGGGGATAGAAGACGTAAAAAGGTGTATGTGTGTGTGGGTGTACGTGCATGTGTGTGTGCGTGGTTACTTTAAATGTGTTTACTAATATCATCATCATGTAGCAGATTTATTTTGGAATGTCTGTCCTATCACTGTACACTAACAAAAGAGCATTGATATCCCTTGCTAATTCTTAAGAAAATAGCAAAAAAAAGTAAATCAGCTTGCCGAAATTCAGCACTTTCTATACGAAGATGCAAGAAAAGTAGCAGGGCTAAACTAGATGGCTGGGACTCATGAGCAGCAGCTACCGCATCTCCTGCAGCTTCCTCCATTTTTTTTCGTGAGTCACCAGTCACCGAAAAGAGGTCCGCAATTTACATGTGACTGAGGCCCTGTTAGGGTATATTTTCGGCCTCGATAATTTGGAATCGTTATTTGGTTTGGAGGATGGCCCTAACTGGGTTTCTTCATTAATCGTGTAATGTTACTCTTAGACACATGTAACAAATGATAAGAAGTTTGACAGACAATCAACGAAACAAATAGAGTAACAGATGCTCTGTAAGCATTACATCCAGTTTTATTTATTAGCCGATTTTCGGATTTCTAAAATTTGAATGACAGTCATTAGTCAATGATTACTCAAGAGCCTTCGCAAGTGGGATATTCTTCTTCAACATGGAGTGTTTGATGTCTTCAAGGCGTTTTCTTTGAATCTTGTATGGTAAAACAAATATCGCCGCTGTCTCATCTCGTGATGCGCCAATACTTCCACCTATCTGTGGTTTCAAAGCCATGATATCTCAAGTTATCTTATCGATGTATTTATTTTAACTGTATCTAACTGCTCCCCGCCATGACACCTTCCGGAAGTTGACATCTGTATCCGGGTGAAAGGTCAGTCGAAGACAACCACGTTTGGGGAAGTCACAGTTTATTGTTGGATTTGTGCCTGATCGATTCCTTGTTGAATTGCACGGAATTATTGACCAATATTTATTTCACAGTTATGGAGGAGAACGAAGAAGGCCTACAATTTCATGAAATGGGCTTTGATGACAGAATTTTAGAGGTGCTGGTCGCTTTTTCACTGTTGACTCTATGACTGACTCTGACATTCCTTTTTTTTTACGTTTTTATAGTATTACTATTAGTATAGTATTGTAGTATAGTAGTTATACTTCCAAAAAAATTAACAGTTAATAAACTTTTGATAAATTAATGATAATAATATATTAATATGAAATGCTTGTCAATAAAAAAAAAAAAAACAATAATAAAAATGCAAGTACTGTTTTTTTGTTGGTTAGTAGGAAAGAATTCAGCAGCGTGTAAATTTCACAACATAAATTTTACTAAACAAATTGATTCACTTACCATGAGCCATGGTTGGTTCTGCAGCGACAAGAGCAGTAACTATAAATCTCAGAATAAAACTTTATAGTTTGTTCAATTTCCTAACAAATTCCAAACATAATAATAATAAGTTTCTTGGTTAGTTTAGCATTCAAGGGTGTTTTGTTCTCACACAAGAGTGCTGAGAAAAAATTCCAGAGGACAAATCGGCCATTATTACTACTACTTACACACTCACTATTTAGTTACTTTTATAACAGTTATAATATATAATGACTGAAGCTGCAATGATTTCACTGTAGCTTAGCCATAGTATGCTATTGTCTATTTGTTTCGAGCACTTTCCTTCTTTTACACCCTAAATACAATAGCAGTGGAACATTCTCAGTGTAAACTCATCAGAATCGCTAGATTCCCAAACAGCTGATCGCTCAGCTGTCCCTAGCGTAAATTCACCGTTCGAATCACTTTCTTAAAAATCTAAAATGTCATTTTCATTATCAGAACAAAAACACCTGACTGAAATCATTTCTGAATTTCGGCCACAGAAAGACACATTTTGCATCGTCAGGATGACCCTGTACTTGTGTACTGTCTGGAACACTGATATCCATGACAAATGAACTTAGGAAATGCACCGTTCAGCGCTAGCTTTAAATCAGATCAATCTGCCCACAATGTTTTAGAACACAGAATTTTATTCAAAGGAAAATGTAACCCTTCCCTGAATACTTTAATGGTAGTTAGGAACATTAGAAGCAATATGCAGAGCTGGCAATGTGTAATGTATGGATCACACAATCGATGCTGGCAGTGTTGCTTCGGCAGATTGGAACTTCTCAATCAACACTCGTTGCTCGGGCCTTTAAGAGTGAAGACACACAGAAGATCTGTAACTTTCCCCCAACTCAGTGTTTAAGCCGTTCCCACAACTGGATAGGAATGTCATTCTATCTTCTCACTGAGAATCGGATGACTGGAGAAGAGAGGTATATCTGTTTGTGATGCTTGATTCATTAGATCAGGGCTATTCAACCCACAGCCCGTGGAGAACAGAGGTATATCTGTTTGTGATGCTTGATTCATTAGATCAGTGCTATTCAACCCACAGCCCGTGGAGAACAGAGGTATATCTGTTTGTGATGCTTGATTCATTAGATCAGTGCTATTCAACCCACAGCCCGGGGAGAACAGAGGTATATCTGTTTGTGATGCTTGATTCATTAGATCAGTGCTATTCAACCCACAGCCCGTGGAGAACAGAGGTATATCTGTTTGTGATGCTTGATTCATTAGATCAGGGCTATTCAACCCACAGCCCGTGGAGTCCTAGCAGACCAGTGCCAATTATATTGTACAGTATTAATAATTTTTCTGTGCTGGGGTTTAGGTCGGTGGCTATCATCCCTGTTTTCAAAATGTTGGCCCCTGTGTAAACTTATTTAATTTGAAATTGTGAATAGTTCCGCTCAGATGTTTACCAGTTTTATCTGTAACTGATGAACCACTGCCAGGAGCCATAACATAATATAACATAATATTGTTTATAACACGAAGTTGCACGTTTTTATAGTTTTATTGAATATCTAAATACCAGGTAAACCAATGTTTGCCATAAATTGATTCATACGACCGTTTATTGTATACTCCCTGTACAGGCAATATCAAAGCTTGGCTGGTCTCAGCCAACTCCCATACAAGAGAAAGCCATCCCTCTAGCGCTTCAGGGCAAGGACATTCTGGCCAGGGCTCGTACAGGCTCCGGGAAGACGGCAGCATATGCTATTGTTGTCATACACAAGCTGCTGTATTTAAAACAGGTATATTTGTGTAAACTATTTATCACAGTCGATATCATCGCAAAGTGGGCATTCCTATGCATGCTCAGTACTTTGATACAGAATCCACTCCCAAGTACCTTTATTGATTGTTCCCATGGGGAGTTGGTTATATCTCCTATCTTGACCTCATAGCCAGAGCAGACAGGCTTTACTCCCATGTCACACATTCGTATTATTTCCCATTGTTACCCATCACCCTGGTCAGTTTTGATATCTGCTCTGTCCATGCTTCCTCCCACAGTCATTGGTGCATTGCACGCCAGTTGGTCCGCTCGCTCTTTACATCATCGTGACCGGGTGTGTAGATTCAGGTGAAGGAGGTTAAATATGCTTTTCAAATGCATTCTACCCATTTAGGGCACATGGTAGCCGTTGCTATTTTTTGAAGCATGTTCATAGAGTCTGAAACGATCACCGCTTCTATGGTCACTTGTTCTGCTGAGCAGGAATGCCCTTATCTCGATGTCTACAGCTGCAGGATTCCTGCAGTACCTCTTCGGTGTAATGACAACCTTAGAAAGGTCACGCATGTCTACTGGTACGTCCATTCTTTTCCCATGACTGATCTTGTCTGTGTCATATACCTGCCGAATACAATCTTTAGCCTTGGTCGCGAGCGGCCTCTTTTGAGACATTTCTTTCATCTTCTGTAGCTTTGTGTAGTGGGTGGTTAATGTTTGCAGATACTCTCATGTACGCCCTGAGTCGCTTAAACCCTCTTTACTTCTATTACTAAATGTCTGATCAAAGTGCTCAGTACCTGTTCATTCTCGCATGCAGACGAATACAGGTCACAGACAGGACTCCCTGGTAGAGATCATTCATTTTAATCACATTGACTGAATAACATCTTTTCTCCAATCTTTCGTCTGCAATCCATAACTCTGGGCTACCACATAATATCATTTAATCAATTGTACTTACAAAGGATAGGTCAGATGCAATTCTTTCACACAGCAGAAATCACTTTTAGTGGTTGAAGTGAAGACTTCCATTACACACGTCCCTATAGGACTAGTTAAACACACTATATCTTGTACGCTGAAAAAAAAGCACATCATTCCAAGTCCCCTGTGCTGGTGTGTTGTCCTGTCTGCTCATGTCTTGGCTGAAGGCTCGGTGGGATGCACTGATATATTTTATATATTCTCCTTCATGGTATGTTGTATGATGTGTTTCTCCGGCCTAGCAGCCTTTCCCCATGTTATTTTATTTTCTCAATGTCTCTCTTGCCTCACAACCTTTCCCTGTATCATATTTTCTCAATGTCTCTCTCGTCTCACAACCTTTCTCTGTGTCATATTTTCTCAATGTCTCTCTCGTCTCACAACCTTTCCCTGTGTCATATTTTCTCAATGTCTCTCTTGCCTCACAACCTTTCCCTGTGTCATATTTTCTCAATGTCTCTCTCGTCTCACAACCTTTCCCTGTCATATTTTCTCAATGTCTCTCTCGTCTCACAACCTTTCCCTGTCATATTTTCTCAATGTCTCTCTCGTCTCACAACCTTTCCCTGTGTCATATTTTCTCAAAGTCTCTCTCGTCTCATCTTTCCCTGTGTCATTTTTTCTCAATGTCTCTCTCGTCTTACAACCTTTCCCTGTATCGTATTTTCTCAATGTCTCTCTCGTCTCACAACCTTTCCCTGTGTCGTATTTTCTCAATGTCTCTCTCGTCTCACAACCTTTCCCTGTGTCATATTTTCTCAAAGTCTCTCTCGTCTCACCTTTCCCTGTGTCATTTTTTCTCAATGTCTCTCTCGTCTCACAACCTTTCCCTGTGTCGTATTTTCTCAATGTCTCTCTCGTCTCACAACCTTTCCCTGTGTCATTTTTTCTCAAAGTCTCTCTCGTCTCACAACCTTTCCCTGTGTCATGTCTCTTTTTCCCTCAATGTCAATGTCTCTCTCGTCTCACAACCTTTTCCCTGTGTCACAACCTTTCCCTGTATATTTTCTCAATGTCTCTCTCGTCTCACAACCTTTCCCTGTGTCATATTTTTTTCTCACCTTCCCTGTGTCTCTCTCAACCTTTCTCACAACGTCTTACCCTGTCCCTGTATATATTTCTCAATGTCTCTCTCGTCTCACAACCTTTCCCTGTGTCGTATTTTCTCAATGTCTCTCTCATCTCACAACCTTTCCCTGTGTCGTATTTTCTCAATGTCTCTCTCATCTCACAACCTTTCCCTGTGTCGTATTTTCTCAATGTCTCTCTCGTCTCACAACCTTTCCCTGTGTCATTTTTTCTCAAATGTCTCTCTCGTCTCACAAACCTTTCCCTGTGTCGTATTTTCTCAATGTCTCTCTCGTCTCACAACCTTTCCCTGTGTCGTTTTTCAATGTTCTCAATGTCATATTTTCTCTCATCTCTCACAACCTTTCCCTGTGTCGTATTTTCTCAATGTCTCTCTCATCTCACAACCTTTCCCTGTGTGTCGTCTTTTCTCACAATGTCTCTGTGTCGTATCTCTCAACCTTTCCCTGTGTCGTATTTTCTCAATGTCTCTCTCATCTCACAACCTTTCCCTGTGTCGTCAATGTCTTTCTCAACCTTTCCCTGTGTCGTATTTTCTCAATGTCTCTCTCACAACCTTTCCCTGTGTATATTTTCTCAATGTCTCTCTCATCTCACAACCTTTCCCTGTTCGTATTTTCAATGTCTCTCTCATCTCACAACCTTTCCCTGTGTCGTATTTTCTCAATGTCTCTCTCGTCTCACAACCTTTCCCTGTGTCGTATTTTCTCAATGTCTCTCTCATCTCACAACCTTTCCCTGTGTCGTATTTTCTCAATGTCTCTCTCATCTCACAACCTTTCCCTGTGTCATTCTTTTTTTAATTTTTATATTCCCTGGGTTTCCTCTTCCCAACATGCTAGGACGTAGAGCTCTTCCCAACATGCTAGGACGTAGGACTCTTCCCAACTGTCCCTGTGTCATTAGTTATATCTCAATCCCATCAGACAGAAAAGACATGGACAATGTCTGCATGTGAAGAATTGGTGAAACATGTGGTTTTTTACCTGGGCCAATGGAATCAAGTACACTAGCGGAGGTTCAGGGTATATGCATCATTTCAGAGATCCCGGGTTGTAGGTTATTGTGAGAGCCCTTTGGGAATGAGTCAGCAGTGTGGAGGTTCAGGGTATCTGCATCGTTTCAGAGATCCTGGGTTGTAGGTTATTGTGAGGGCTCTTTGGGAATGAGTCAGCAGTGTGGAGGTTCAGATAAATCATTACGGTCTAAGGAGGATAATGCTAGGGGGTCTGGCCAACGCTCAACACTCAGGGGAAGGATGAGACATATACAATCAGGTGGTTACTGGTACCATTGGAATTTAAACTCTTTGCTTGCTGCTGATGGTTGGGATAGAGCACTTATGGGAGTGTCCAGAGTGCTATGATGTTGATTCTTAATTCAACATTCTCTTCCCAACAAAGGGAATTAAATGGGTTTCCTATCACCTCTTTAGCAGGGGGTGTCTTGTGTGCAACTAAGTATGAGTCTCATGGCCTTATCTGGATTGAGACACAGTCTTTGATGCTTCACACATACCCCTGGTGGAGAAGGCAGGTTTACAATTGTGTTAACTGGAGTTGTGATCATATATTTTAGGTTAGCTAAACATCATCATGTGGCAGGTTCCTGGCAGACACTTTCGGTGACCAGGGCATCTCAGAAATCCATTGGATCGCTGCCCAGATAACGTGAATCCTGTCACCCTGAAAAAGCCAGGTTCTTAATGACATGGGAGTTTTTAGGCTGTGGCCACTACATTTAAATATTAGTTTTGGTGCATATTCAGAAATCATTGACAGGGTTGTTGATTGTGATTGACTTGCTAATTTGATTTTGTACTTGATTAATTAACATGGATATGATTGCCAAAGATGCATGTTTTCTGTAGCCTGTTTCTAATAGTATATGACAATATTAATGATTTGCTACGTCTCCATAGACAGCCTCAGAGCAAGCCATTCGCGCAGTTATCCTGACCCCGTCTAAGGAACTGTGTAGCCAGACCTACAGGAGCATACAGGTAGGCAGCTGTCTCCTGTGCTGATGTGTTCTCCTGTCTGCCCGTGTCCTGTCTGTTTGTGTCCTAGCTGCTCGTGTCCTGTCTGTTTGTGTCCTAGCTGCTCGTGTCCTGTCTGTCTGTGTCCTAGCTGCTCGTGTCCTGTCTGTTTGTGTCTTAGCTGCTCGTGTCCTGTCTGTTTGTGTCCTAGCTGCTCGTGTCCTGTCTGTTTGTGTTCCTAGCTGTTCGTGTCCTGTCTGCTCATGTCCTGTCTGTTCGTGTCCTGTCTGCTCATGTCCTGTCTGCTCATGTCCTGTCTGCTCATGTCCTGTCTGCTCATGTCCTGTCCGCTCGTGTCCTGTCTGCTCGTGTCCTAGCTGCAGGCTCTTTTGAATGTACTGTCAGTTTGCTTCTCTGCTGACAGCCACAGTGTTTTGTTAGTTTCTGTCAAAATAGAAATCTGATTTAATTGTCTGTTTATTAACGTTACAAGCTGTGATGTTTTGCTCTCCTGATGATTGTCAATTAATGTAACTGTTGTACACCGTTTTGGGTGTTCTCTTGTTGTCAGTTCTTGTGTTTGTTGAACACCAATGTGTTGTTGCTGTTCCATGTTGTCATGATTTACACAAATATTCAATGTTTCTGCAGGGATTAACCTCAGGCTGTTCCCGGGATATCAAATGTGTGGATATATCACCTCAAGTACCATTGGCTTCTCAGAGGTGAGTGGTGTTAGTGTTGAGGCTAGGTGTTTTTCTCTCAGAGGTGAATAGTGTTGTTCTCTCAGAAGTGAATAGTGTTTTTCTCTCAGAGGTGAATAGTGTTGTTCTCTCAGAGGTGAATAGTGTTTTTCTCTCAGAAGTGAATAGTGTTTTTCTCTCAGAGGTGAATGGTGTTAGTGTTAAGGCTTGGTGTTGTTCTCTCAGAAGTGAATAGTATTGTTCTCTCAGAGGTGAATAGTATTGTTTTCTCAGAAGTGAATAGTATTGTTCTCTCAGAAGTGAATAGTGTTGTTCTCTCAGAGGTGAATAGTGTTGTTCTCTCAGAGGTGAATAGTGTTGTTCTCTCAGAGGTGAATAGTGTTGTTCTCTCAGAGGTGAATAGTGTTGTTCTCTCAGAGGTGAGTGGTGATAGTGTTGAGGCTTGTCGGTGTTCTCTCAGAGGTGAGTGGTGTTAGTGTTGAGGCTTGTTGGTGTTCATGTTGAGACTAGGTGGTGTCAGTTTTCTCTGAACCTTGATTCCAAACCTGAAATCGAGACAGATTATCGAGATCCATTCTGGAACTGCCATTTACACACGATCTTGATTCGTTGTAATGAAGCAGACACTGTGGTGTTGTTTGTGGTGCTCATCCTTCATCTTGATCTAATATTCTGCAGCCAAAATATAAACTGCACCTTCTTATTATCACTTTAGTTATATTTGTTTGTTTTGTTTTTGTGATAGAAATTTCACCATTTTTTGGGAGATAAAATATATTTATGCATACAGGTGATCTATTCTGTAGGATTGCAGCATCTGCTTCTAGTTACATTTTTATTGATCATTAGAAACAAAATATGGAGTCAATGACAGCATTTGCACCATATATAAATATATATATATATATTTATTTTATATATATATATATATATATATATATATATATATATATATATATATATATATATATATATATATATATATAAAGTCTGATCGTAATTTAAACTAATAGCATATATCTTGAAAACTAGGGCCATTCAACTTGTTTTCATTTTCTGCACACCACAATTAGTTTAGATCAGCTTTTGTCGTTTCTGATGCAAATAACTTGTAAAAATATGCTGGCTAGTGTAAGGAATGAAACCTGGGAGATTTGTTGGAGACAGTTGCTTTGTTAGTTCAGGTGACCTATATCTGCCTGCTTGGTTCTCTCACCTCAGACCCATATTGCTGGAGAAGCCGGACATTGTTGTTGCCACACCAAGTCGACTGTTGGCTCACATCCGAGCTGAGAACATCCACTTGAAGGACTCCCTAGAAATGCTGGTGGTGGATGAGGCGGACCTGGTCTTCTCCTTTGGTTATGAAGCTGATGTCAAAGAGCTTCTCAGGTTGGTTTGTCTACGTATTTGAGAGAGTTCTCGGCAGCCATTGCTGTTGTGTCATTTAAGGCATGGCTTTGTTCCTAACGCAAGCACCATTTGTCTACAGTTGCATCCCCCTAGATGTAATGTTATCATTTACTGCATGGTTATTCAGCTGGAACCCTGCGGGCCGAAGCTGGTCTGCTGTGGCCTTGCAGGTGACTTGCAAATTATTGTCAACAGTATTGTATCAATGACCTTTCTATGCCTGGAGATAAGGTCAGTGGTGATCCCCATGATGATGACCTGTGAGTAAACTGAGATAAATAGCCCTCATTGACAGGGATCTGAGGTAGTAGAACATTCAGCACAACTAAATACAATCTTCATCTGTGCTTGATTGATTACACAAAGATTTTTGACAGAATGACACGACATGATAAAAATGCTTACAAATCTACAAGTCAGTGGGAAAGACATTAGACCGATTAAGCAAATTTATTGGAAACAGCCGGCTGCTGTAAACATTGGTTGGGAAAGTAGGTCCATACAAGTCAGTCAATACAAGTGTGTAAAATAATGCAATATCTATAAGACATGAAGGTAGAATGTCACACTGACAGTGTAAAATAATGCGATATCTAGAAGACATGAAGGTAGAATGTCAAACTGACTGTGTCAGATATGCAGATGAACTTGATGTCACCTACTGGAAAGAAAAGGACAACCAGAGAATGAAGAAGAGATGGGTGGTGTCTGCAGCAATAAACCTCAAGGGCTCCGAACGTTGAAGAAGAAGATAATACAGTGGTAACTGCAGATTAATAAAATCTGTAGTGTTTAGTGGATGCAGTCAGAATTGACAGCTGAAAACTAGACTTAGAGCTAAGTTGTCAGAAAACTAGACTTAGAGCTCAGTTGTCAGAAAACTAGACTTAGAGCTCAGTTGTCAGAAAACAGAAATTATGTTCATCAACAAGAAGAAAAGAATCACAGGTGTAAAATACATGCAGAATTCTTCAGCAAGTGAATACATATAACTATTTAGGAACAATTGTAGCATCTGGTCCCATGCAGAATTTACCAGAATTGCCGCCATGGCAAAGTTGGCCTTTAGCAACATGCACAAGATTCTCGTTAATGAAAAAAATGTCACCCTGAGAAACAGTATGAAAGTGTTGTGTAGAACTTGTGGTTTTATGCATGCCAAACATAGAAGTAAGCAAACAAGCTAAAAACATTTACTTGCAGCAGAGATGTGATTTCTGAGAAGAATGCAAGAATATCATGGAAGGATAGAAAAACAAAAGAAGCAGTCCTCACTGAGACAGATGAATGTTGTAAACTTTGAAAGTTGTGAACTTATAAGAACAATTAAACGTAGACAGTCAATATTTTGTGGACATATTGTGAGAAGGCATGGGCTGGAGAACTTTGTGACAACTGGCAAGATTGATAGAAATAGAGCAAGAGGAAAGCAAAGAAAGAAAAACCTGGATGTCCTAGCCAGATGGATGGGGGGGGGGGGGGGGGGGGCAAAAACATTGAACTGGTCCGTGATTGTGTGAGATGGCAAACCATGACAGCCTACATTTACCGGCACTGCACCAGATTTGGTTCGTTGTTTACAACCCTGGTTTACAGTGATGTTATAGTTTACAGTGATGTTAGATGTTTACAACCTGGTTTACAGTGATGTTATAGTTTACAGTGATGTTAGATGTTTACAACCTGGTTTACAGTGATGTTATAGTTTACAGTGATGTTAGATGTTTACAACCTGGTTTACAGTGATGTTATTAGATGTTGATAGAATGATTGAACTGTTTTGCTGTGCCCACAATAAATGTCCGCTGACTTTCACTAGCAACTTCCCCAAGATCTACCAAGCCTTTATGATGTCTGCAACTCTGGGTCAGGATGTCAACACTCTCAAGAAACTTGTTCTCCACAACGCAGTGAGTATCAATGTCAGATGGCTGCTCATTGTGCCTCTTGTCCCAGCAGGTTGTTCTTTCATAGTATTCTCTCAACATTGTCCTGGTGTTTTTCCATCTTTCGGTTATCTCAGCAGTATTGGCTATTTCAGCGTTTTGGTTGTGTCTGAAGTTGGGCAGTGATCTAGACACACCTGTCACTGCCCACATCTCCTTAAACGGTGCCGATGCACAGATAGATCATTATGATCTGAGGAGAATGGCACTGTGAGGAGTTAAAAGAGGATCTGGTCGACACTCAGGAGAAGGGCGAGTCAAGTATACAATCAGACAGTTGCTGGTACCGTCGAATTTCAACTCTACATTTGCTGCTGAAGATTGGGATGGAGCGCTTATGGTGGTGTCCCGAGTGCTGTGATGTTGATTCTTAATTCAACATTCTCATTCTCTGCCTAGGCCTGTTATATGTCTTGTTGCCCTTCCTGACTGATCTCAGATATTTTGAGACCCAGACAGTTGCTGCAATAGCCTGTTCTGTGTGAAACTGTTGTTAGACTGGCATGTTCACATTGTTATTTTAATTTCAGGTCATTCTGAAACTCGAGGAATCACAGCTTCCAGAAACATCACAACTCAACCAGTACCAAATCAAGTAAGTGATCTAGTGGGGTGTTCATGTGAGCATTCGTGGGTGATCTAATGGGGTGTTCGGGTGCGGATGATCTACTGGGGTGGTCATGTAGCACATTTTGTTCTGTACCAGAGTCAAGAGTCACTGAGCCGTCATCTATTATCTTTTGCTTTGTACTTTCTACACTACACATCTGACAGACTCTGTAATTATGCAGGCACTCATTAATTGGCTGCTCCAGCATCATGTGGTCTTGTGTGGAAAGGTGCCTGTTAAACTGACATGGTCATAGATTTTGGAAAACGTTTTAGTTGTAATCTGAATATTTTAAGTGCGCTTGTAGTGGGAAACATTTGAATTGTAATCTGAATATTTTAAGTGTGCTTGTAGTGGGAAACATTTGAATTGTAATCTAAATATTTCAAGAGTGTGCTAGTAGTGGAAATGTTTGAATTGTAATCTAAATATTTCAAGAGAGCGCTTGTAGTGGGAAAATGTTTGAATTGTGATCTAAATATTTCAAGAGAGCGCTTATAGTGGGAAAATGTTTGAATTGTAATCTGAATATTTCAAGAGAGCGCTTGTGTGTGTCTGTATGTGTGATTGTATGTGGATATGTGCGGGTGTGGCTTGGCTGCATGTTTGTCTGTGTGTGTGTGTCTTTGTGTGTATCTATGCTGTGTCTGTAGGTGTTTCTGCGTGTGTCTGTGTGTCTATGCCTGCGTGTGCCTGTGGCTGTGTGTTTCTCTGTGTGTTGTTTCGTGTGTATTTGTATGTTCAAATTTGTGATAATGTGTGTGTGTGTGCGTCTGCATGTGTGTGTCTGTGCGAGTATTTGTGCGTCTGTGGGTGTGTTAGTATGTGTTTGTGTCCGTCTCTGTGTGTCAGTGTGTGTGTGTGCCAATATGTGTCTGTGGCTGTGCGTGGCTTTGTGTGTATCTGTGTGAGTCTCTATCGGTGTGTCTATTATATTATGTCTGCGTGTCTCTGCTTGTGTCGCGTTATGCCTCTGTGTGCGTGTCTGTGTGTGTATATCTTTGTATGTGTGGGTGTTGCGTACGTCAATGTGTGTGTCTGTTTCCCTGCCTGCGTGTGTGTGTGTCCCCGTATGTGTGCCTGTGACTGCATGTGTGTGTGTCTGGATTGTATGCGTGTGTGTTTTAGAGCGTGTGTATGTATTATGTGAGTTTGTATGTATGTAGGTATGTATGTGTGTGTGTGCATGTTCGTATGTATGTGGATGTATGTGTGTACTTAGTGCCTACATGTTTGTGTGTAAGTGAGTCATTGGGCTTGTGTGTGTATGTGGGTGTGTGTGTTCGCGCGTGAGCGTGCGTACATATTTTACCAGCCATGCTTTTGTTTTTGACTTCATATATATAATATGCATATTATTACATGAATATAACATGCTTCATTGATGAAATACAACTGCTGTGTGAAAGATGGAAGTTTGGAAGGGCCGTTAACCATCCCTTCAGCTGGTTGCTAGCTCTGAGACCTGACATAGAATTCTCTGTGTGTCAGATGACTATTTATCTACGTGTTTATCCGTCTGGGCATGCACAAACTAAGCAGCTGACATGCCTGGCAGAACCTTGAACAGGCCACAAATACCCTGGGGAAACCCTTGAAATTTTCTTGGGTGAACTTGACCTTGTTCATACACATGCCGCTTAGTTATATAGAGGAAATAGAGCGAACAATACAATTCTAAATCAAGAACGATAGCACACCTCATGGAGACATCCTAGATGACCTGTCTCATGATGTTTGAACTGATTATGTTTTCTTGTGTAGATTAATTCATCACATTGAGTCTTCTTCACTTTAAGGCTGACAGTTTTACAGTGACTGGCTCACAGTTTTACAGTGACTGGCTCACAGTTTTACAGTGACAGGCTGACAGTTTTACAGTGACTAGCTGACAGTTTTACAGTGACTGGCTCACAGTTTTACAGTGACTGACTCCCAGTTTTACAGTGACTGGCTCACAGTTTTACAGTGACTGGCTCACAGTTTTACAGTGACTGGCTCACAGTTTTACAGTGACTGGCTCACAGTTTTACAGTGACTGGCTCACAGTTTTACAGTGACAGGCTGACAGTTTTACAGTGACTGGCTCACAGTTTTACAGTGACTGGCTCACAGTTTTACAGTGACTGGCTCACAGTTTTACAGTGACTGGCTCACAGTTTTACAGTGACTGGCTCACAGTTTTACAATGACTGGCAAACTGTTGCCGTTAATTTTCCAATACTGTTTGGATTCGGAGATAGACTGAATATTCTGTTGAAGTGGTTTGTATCACTTTGAAACAGAGAAAATGTGAAGTTAAAGTATGTTAAGATAACTACATCTGAATATTGTTACAGGTGTAAGAGAGATAACTTTGACTGAATATTGTTACATGTGTAAGAGAGATAACTAAGATAACTGTGACTGAATATTGTTACAGGTGTGAAGAAGGAGACAAGTTTGCCCTGACTGCTGCTCTGCTCAAGTTGAACTTGATCCGAGGAAAAACCATCTTCTTTGTGAATTCTGTCAACAGATGTTATCTGTAAGTTTGTAAAGGTGATCATCAGGTCTCTGTGTTCTGTTACTAGACGTTAACTGTAAGTTTTGTTAACAAGTCTAGTAGATGTGTTCTGTTAGTAGACGTTAACTGTAAGTTTTGTTAACAAGTCTAGTAGATGTGTTCTGTTAGTAGACGTTAACTGTAAGTTTTGTTAACTGTAAGTTTTGTTAACTGTAAGTTTCGTTAACAAGTCTTGTAGATGTGTTGTCACAGACAGTCCTTGGTATCCAGCTGTTTGACCACATCAAGATGATCTATTGGCCAGCCAACAGAAAACATGTAGTTCAGGTCATGTCGTTGTGACTAGCCTGCGATGAACAGGGACACATGTAGCATTGTGTTGGTGGCCTGGTGCTTGTGATCACATGCATGAGGGAAAGTTATGCCTGTTGTGCTGTGTATGAGGGGATGCCCTGTATGTTGACCAAAGTGCTAGCAGGCTCTGTGCTGCTTTTATGAAAGTCTCTTGATAAGTGTCAACAAATACAGCATTTATGTTCAGTCTGTTTATGAGATAGATCGTTTACGCAGAAGTCTGTCTGTAGTGAATGAGACTTACAGGGGGAGGGGAGTGGAGATCACATGTAACATTGACAGTGTCTAGAACATTTCAGCATTTTCTCTGGACATCCCATGTTGTTTTTGGTTTTTTTTTTTTCTGACATCTGCACCGCTTCCTGTCTCTAGCCAGAAATCACAGATGTTTAGAATGGCTCCATTGCGACTTATGTTTCCTTTTCAGGCCCACTTGACCTGTTGCTGTCTGTCACAATCTTGTTTTGTGTAATTTAAATTTTTTCTTTCAGCCTCAAATTATTCCTAGAGCAGTTTGGTGTCAGAGCTTGTATACTGAATTCAGAGTTGCCAGTGAACTCCAGGTCAGTGTGATTTCTGTTTTTGTGCAGTATCTTTGAGTGTTGTCTGCTAACCTTTCTAGACAGGCTGGTGTTTAGCGATGAGGGTGTCAGTGTTGTGTTAACTACATCGCCTGAGGCCTGCTACCTCTATACACCTGGTTCAACACCAGCTGGGGTTCAAGGCCTTGGCTTTGCTGACAAACAAACACTCATCTGTCACCTCACATGTATCCACTGTTGAAGTCACATCAGACACTTATCTGTCACCTCACATGTATCCACTGTTGAAGTCACATCAGACACTCATCTTTCACCTCACATGTATCCACTGTTGAAGTCACATCAGACACTTATCTGTCACCTCACATGTATCCACTGTTGAAGTCACATCAGACACTTATCTGTCATCTCACATGTATCCACTGTTGAAGTCACGTCAGACACTCATCTGTCACCTCACATGTATCCACTGTTGATGTCACATCAGACACTCATCTGTCACCTCACAGTATCCACTGTTGATGTCACATCAGACAATTATCTGTCACCTCACATGTATCCACTGTTGATGTCACATCAGACACTCATCTGTCACCTCACATGTATCCACTGTTGATGTCACATCAGACACTCATCTGTCACCTCACATGTATCCACTATTGATGTCACATCAAACACTCATCTGTCACCTCACAGTATCTCCACTGTTGATGTCACATCAGACACTTATCTGTCACCTCACATGTATCCACTGTTGATGTCACATCAAACACTCATCTGTCACCTCACAGTATCTCCACTGTTGATGTCACATCAGACACTTATCTGTCACCTCACATGTATCCACTGTTGATGTCATGGCAGACACTTATCTGTCACCTCACAATATCCACTGTTGATGTCACATCAGACACTTATGTCACCTCACAGTATCCACTGTTGATGTCACAACAGACACTTATCTGTCACCTCACAGTATTCACTGTTGATGTCACGGCAGACACTTATGTCACCTCACAGTATCCACTGTTGATGTCACGGCAGAACTTATCTGTCACCTCACATGTATCCACTGTTGATGTCACGGCAGACACTTATCTGTCACCTCACATGTATCCACTGTTGATGTCACGGCAGACACTTATCTGTCACCTCACATGTATCCACCACCGGTGTCATCATCTAGATTCCTGATGCCAGGACTCTGACATGTCAGACACTCATCTTTTACATCACTTGTTTCTTCGCTTGTTTTCATCAGTGCCACTTAAATTTGCCATTGTTATCAACACATCATTTGTTATCTGTGCAGGTGTCACATTGTAAATCAATTCAACGATGGCCTCTATGATTACATCATTGCTGCAGATGAAGCAGTTGCCGAGGCATCCACTCCAAAGTCCCTGTCTCAGCAGAAATCTAAACCTAGCAGGTATGTCACTGTTTGTATTGGCTTTGTTAGTTCGTCCAAGGCATGCCAGCTGCTAGAACATATGTGTGACATGAATGTATGGGTATGGTTGCATAGTGCCCATGCTAGCTGCTAGAACATATGTGTGGCATGAATGTATGGATATGGTTGCAAAGTGCCAAGCCAAAGTGTTTACTACTCATGGTTTCTGGGTACTATAAAAAAAACAAATGTGTAACACGTCTATGCCTAAGCAGGAACCATGCCTAGTTGTCATTTTATGTAAATAGTTATTTAAACATTAATCGTGTCTGTCTTTGTAATAACATGTTTATAGTTAATGTATGTAAACATAGATCATGTCTAGATAGACCCTAATATTTTAAAATGAATTGATCCACAGATTCCGTAAACGTGACAAGGAATACGGGGTCTCTCGGGGCATTGATTTTTACAATGTGTCAAATGTTGTCAATTTTGACTTCCCCCAGAATGCCGATGCCTACATCCACAGAGTTGGCAGGTACTGATTGTGTTAGCTCTAGCAGTTTCCTTTTGTTGGGGAGTCCATGTCTTGTTACCCCACATTGTTCCACTGTACTGTTGAGTGTAATTATTGTGCCAGAGTATTTTACTATGAAAGAAGTATGCAAGTTGTAATATTGGCTATCGGAGTTGCCCCATAGTGTCTCGGGGCTTACCTCGTCTTCTGCTTGCGTTAAAATATATATACTTGACTGGGAGACCTACTTTGTCTTCTGCTTATGTTAGAATATATATACTTGACTGGGAGACCTACTTTATGTCTTCTGCTTATGTTAGAATATATACTTGACTGGGAGACCTACTTTATGTCGTCTGCTTATGTTAGAATATATATACTTGACTGGGAGACCTACTTTATGTCTTCTGCTTATGTTAGAATATATATACTTGACTGGGAGACCTACTTTATGTCTTCTGCTTATGTTAGAATGTATATACTTGACTGGGAGACCTACTTTATGTCGTCTGCTTATGTTAGAATATATACTTGACTGGGAGACCTACTTTATGTCTTCTGCTTATGTTAGAATATTTATACTTGACTGGGAGACCTACTTTATGTCGCCTGCTTATGTTAGAATATATACTTGACTGGGAGACCTACTTTATGTCTTCTGCTTATGTTAGAATATATATACTTGACTGGGAGACTTACTTTATGTCTTCTGCTTATGTTAGAATATATATACTTGACTAGGAGACCTACTTTATGTCTTCTGCTTATGTTAGAATATATACTAGACTGGGAGACCTACTTTATGTCTTCTGCTTATGTTAGAATATATACTTGACTGGGAGACCTACTTTATGTCTTCTGCTTATGTTAGAATATATATACTTGACTGGGAGACCTACTTTATGTCTTCTGCTTATGTTAGAATATATACTTGACTGGGAGACCTACTTTATGTCTTCTGCTTATGTTAGAATATATACTAGACTGGGAGACCTACTTTATGTCTTCTGCTTATGTTAGAATATATACTTGACTGGGAGACCTACTTTATGTCTTCTGCTTATGTTAGAATATATATACTTGACTGGGAGACCTACTTTATGTCGTCTGCTTATGTTAGAATATATACTTGACTGGGAGACCTACTTTATGTCTTCTGCTTATGTTAGAATATATATACTTGACTGGGAGACCTACTTTATGTCTTCTGCTTATGTTAGAATATATACTTGACTGGGAGACCTACTTTATGTCTTCTGCTTATGTTAGAATATATACTTGACTGGGAGACCTACTTTATGTCTTCTGCTTGTGTTAGAATATATATACTTGACTGGGAGACCTACTTTATGTCTTCTGCTTGTGTTAGAATATATACTTGACTGGATTTGATGAGCAAACCTTGTGTGAGTTTAGTTAGAGGCCAGTTGTTACTGGAAAAGTCAGGGTGCTGGAGAACTGACCTGTGGTCACATTGAGAAGTACTTGGGAACTAGCAAAGTTAGCCACTTGAAGGTCAGGTGTGTATCAGTTTCCACACAAACCAGTTTACCCTGACACTTGACACTCAGTCTCCTGCCCTAGAATTAGATGGCTGGGATTAGCTTTGTGTAATTAATTTTGGCAGTGCAGTTAGCTCTGGCTGAAGAGAGAGACGCCATCTCAATGTTCATCGATGCAGTTTGCTGCACCTAAAGAGAGAGACCATCTCAATGTTCATCGATGTAGTTAGCTGCGGCTAAAGAGAGAGACCATCTCAATGTTCATCGATGCAGTTTGCTGCGGCTAAAGAGAGAGACCATCTCAATGTTCATCAATGTAGTTAGCTGCGGCTAAAGAGAGAGACCATCTCAATGTTCATCGGTGCAGTTTGCTGCGGCTAAAGAGAGAGACCATCTCAATGTTCATCAATGTAGTTAGCTGCACCTAAAGAGAGAGACCGTTTGTCAGTGTAGTTGGCTGCGGCAAATATGGGGTAGACCATCTCAACGTTCGTCAGTGTAGTTGGCTGCGGCAAATATGGGGTAGACCATCTCAACGTTTGTCAGTGTAGTTGGCTGCGGCAAATATGGGGTAGACCATCTCAACGTTCCTCAGTGTAGTTGGCTGCGGCAAATATGGGGTAGGCCATCTCAACGTTTGTCAGTGTAGTTGGCTGCGGCAAATATGGGGTAGACCATCTCAACGTTCGTCAGTGTAGTTGGCTGCGGCAAATATGGGGTAGACCATCTCAAAATTTGTCAGTGTAGTTGGCTGCGGCAAATATGGGGTAGACCATCTCAACGTTTGTCAGTGTAGTTGGCTGCGGCAAATATGGGGTAGACCATCTCAACGTTTGTCAGTGTAGTTGGCTGCGGCAAATATGGGGTAGACCATCTCAACGTTTGTCAGTGTAGTTGGCTGCGGCAAATATGGGGTAGACCATCTCAAAGTTTGTCAGTGTAGTTGGCTGCGGCAAATATGGGGTAGACCATCTCAACGTTCGTCAGTGTAGTTGGCTGCGGCCGACAGGGGAAACTATCCCAACAGTTCATGATAGCCAGGACTGTCATTTTTTTTTTTTAATTTCTTTTCAACTGACACATGAGTGTCTGTCATATTCCCTGAGTGTCTCATGTTCCATGAGCGTCTCTCATATTCCCTGAGCGTCTCTCATGTTATGTGATATGATACATGTATAAAACATGAAGGTCTCCCATGTTATGTGATATGATGCATGTATAAAACACGAAGGTCTCTCATGTTATGTGATATGATACATGTATAAAACATGAAGGTGATGCGTTTGGTTTGGGTCTTCTAGGACAGCAAGAGCAGACAATCCAGGGACAGCCTTGTCATTTGTTAGCATCAAAGATGGCGATAAATTAAAGGAAGTTGAGGCAGTTCTTCTGGGTGAAGCTGGTTAGTTCAGTTTACTTTACAACTGATTTGTATGTTCCACACTTGTTTAATGTTTGTCCACACTTGTACCACCATTGTCTACACTTGTACAACCATTGTCCACACTTGTACCACCATTGTCTACACTTGTTTAATGTTTGTCCACACTTGTACCACCATTGTCTACATTTGTTTAATGTTTGTCCACACTTGTACCACCATTGTCTACACTTGTTTAATGTTTGTCCACACTTGTACCACCATTGTCTACACTTGTTTAATGTTTGTCCACACTTGTACCACCATTGTCTACACTTGTACAACCATTGTCTACAGTTGTACGACAATTGTCTACACTTGTACCACCATTGTCCACACTTGTACAACAATTGTCTACACTTGTACCACCATTGTCCACACTTGTACCACCATTGTCTACACTTGTACCACCATTGTCCACACTTGTACCACCATTGTCTACACTTGTACAACCATTGTCTACACTTGTACAACCATTGTCCACACTTGTACAACCATTGTCCACACTTGTACCACCATTGTCTACACTTGTACCACCATTGTCTACACTTGTACGACAATTGTCTACACTTGTACCACCATTGTCCACACTTGTACGACAATTGTCTACACTTGTACGACAATTGTCCACACTTGTACCACCATTGTCCACACTTGTACCACCATTGTCTACACTTGTACCACCATTGTCCACACTTGTACCACCATTGTCTACACTTGTACAACCATTGTCTACACTTGTACCACCATTGTCCACATTTGTACAACCATTGTCTACACTTGTACCACCATTGTCTACACTTGTACCACCATTGTCCACATTTGTACCACCATTGTCCACACTTGTACCACCATTGTCTACACTTGTACAACCATTGTCTACAATTGTACCACCATTGTCCACATTTGTACAACCATTGTCCACACTTGTACAACCATTGTCCACACTTGTACAACCATTGTCTACACTTGTACAACCATTGTCTACACTTGTACAACCATTGTCTACACTTGTACAACCATTGTCTACACTTGTACCACCATTGTTCACACTTGTACAACCATTGTCTACACTTGTACCACCATTGTTCACACTTGTACCACCATTGTCCACACTTTTACAACTATTGTCTACACTTGTACCACCATTGTTCACACTTGTACAACCATTGTCTACACTTGTACCACCATTGTTCACACTTGTACCACCATTGTCTACACTTGTACCACCATTGTCTACACTTGTACCACCATTGTCCACACTTGTACCACCATTGTCCACACTTGTACCACCATTGTCTACACTTGTACAACCATTGTCTACACTTGTACCACCATTGTCCACACTTGTACGACAATTGTCTACACTTGTACCACCATTGTCCACACTTGTACCACCATTGTCCACACTTGTACAACCATTGTCTACACTTGTACAACCATTGTCTACACTTGTACCACCATTGTCCACATTTGTACCACCATTGTCCACACTTGTACCACCATTGTCTACGCTTGTACCACCATTGTCTACGCTTGTACCACCATTTTTCACACTTGTACCACCATTGTTCACACTTGTACAACCATTGTCTACACTTGTACCACCATTGTTCACACTTGTACAACCATTGTTCACACTTGTACCACCATTGTCTACACTTGTACCACCATTGTTCACACTTTTACAACCATTGTCTACACTTGTACCACCATTGTTCACACTTGTACAACCATTGTCTACACTTGTACCACCATTGTTCACACTTGTACCACCATTGTCCACACTTGTACAACCATTGTCTACGCTTGTACCACCATTGTCTACACTTGTACCACCATTGTCTACACTTGTGCCACCATTGTCCACACTTGTACCAGCATTGTTCACACTTGTACCAGCATTGTCTACACTTGTACCACCATTGTCCACACTTGTACCACCATTGTCTACACTTGTACCACCATTGTCCACACCTGTACAAGCTGACAGTGTTTGCCAATCTCCATATGTAACCTACTCACACTGTAGCTGAGTCTCCAAGTTCTGGATTGTTCTAGAAATAGAATGTGTTCATTGTCAGTACTGTAGTACATTTAAGTTTACTTTTTTTGTGTTGAGGATAATTCCTTATCTGTTGCTCTAGGCATGAGAGCTTTTCACTTCATTGTAAATATGTGGTTAGAAGTTTAGTAGTCGGCAGATTATCTTCATTGCGCATCAAACCATTCTGTCCATAAGTGCTTGCATCCACTCAATAATTCTAGCAGCATTTAGCAGCACACGACACCAGTCCCCTGTTGATTTCTTTGGCTTCCTGCTTAGTGCTCTTGTCTGGCCAGACCCTTTTCACATGCTTTCTTGCAGTCTGGTCATGGTTGCAGTTTCGCAGTCATCACATGGTTCTTGCACATCCATGGCTTGTCTGCCCTTAGCAGTAACCTACCTGCAAGACTATCAGCTTGTTCATTTCCTTGCACTCCTGTATAGCAGTCCTGACTACCTCAGAGATTCCAAAAACTGTCTTTAGACCTAGTCCATCTATGTCTTCCTGAGCTCATTCAATAAAACATGTGACTGTAACATGTTTCTGTCCTGCCTGTGAAACACATCTGGCTTAGTCATGCAGTAGTTTCATTATATACATGCAATAGTTTCATTACAGTCATGTTCATGTAATAGTTTCATTGCAGTCATGCAATAGTTTCATTGCAGTCATGCAATAGTTTCATTACAGTCATGCAATAGTTTCTTTACAGTCATGTAATAGTTTCATTACAGTCATGTAATAGTTTCATTACAGTCATGCAATAGTTTCTTTACAGTCATGTAATAGTTTCTTTACAGTCATGCAATAGTTTCTTTACAGTCATGCAATAGTTTCTTTACAGTCATGTAATAGTTTCATTACAGTCATGCAATAGTTTCTTTATAATCATGCATTGGTTTTCAGGCAGTTGGTGCCTCCTGGAGCCATGAGTATTACAAGAGGCAGCAACTGTATGTTCTACGTTGTGACATGACAGTTTTGTAGGCGCTAACCATATAACTGTGTTTCAGGTGGTCAGGGAGACAGCGTGTTTAAACCTTACAACTTCCGCATGGAGGAGATTGAGGGCTTCCGGTATCGGTCAAAGGTAACAGTTGCATAAGTGATCATGTATGTGTTTGTTTACTGATGGCTGCATGGTCATATTTGTTGTGAGCAGACCAGACACTGTGATGTGACAGTTGCATAAGTGATCATGTATGTGTTTGTTTTCTGATGACTGCATGGTCATATTTGTTGTGAGCAGACCAGACACTGTGATGTGACAGTTGCTTAAGTGATCATGTATGTGTTTGTTTACTGATGGCTGCATGGTCATATTTGTTGTGAGCAGACCAGACACTGTGATGTGACAGTTGCATAAGTGATCATGTATGTGTTTGTTTTCTGATGACTGCATGGTCATGTTTGTTGTGAGCAGACCAGACACTGTGATGTGACAGTTGCATAAGTGATCATGTATGTGTTTGTTTACTGATGACTGCATGGTCATGTTTGTTGTGAGCAGACCAGACACTGTGATGTGACAGTTGCATAAGTGATCATGTATGTGTTTGTTTTCTGATGACTGCATGGTCATGTTTGTTGTGAGCAGACCAGACACTGTGATGTGACAGTTGCATAAGTGATCATGTATGTGTTTGTTTTCTGATGACTGCATGGTCATATTTGTTGTGAGCAGACCAGACACTGTGATGTGACAGTTGCATAAGTGATCATGTATGTGTTTGTTTTCTGATGACTGCATGGTCATGTTTGTTGTGAGCAGACCAGACACTGTGATGTGACAGTTGCATAAGTGATCATGTATGTGTTTGTTTTCTGATGACTGCATGGTCATGTTTGTTGTGAGCAGACCAGACACTGTGATGTGACAGTTGCATAAGTGATCATGTATGTGTTTGTTTACTGATGACTGCATGGTCATGTTTGTTGTGAGCAGACCAGACACTGTGATGTGACAGTTGCATAAGTGATCATGTATGTGTTTGTTTTCTGATGACTGCATGGTCATGTTTGTTGTGAGCAGACCAGACACTGTGATGTGACAGTTGCATAAGTGATCATGTATGTGTTTGTTTACTGATGACTGCATGGTCATATTTGTTGTGAGCAGACCAGACACTGTGATGTGACAGTGTCCTGTTGAGAAGCTGGATTACTGCTCTTGATTGGGAAGGGGGGGGGGGGTGGTTTCAGTCTCATGGGAAGTGTTTGCTGACATCTCCATAGATGCAAGTCTTTGTGTTATTGTACCAACAACCCCTGATTTTGTCAAGCTAAGACTCAAGTTTCTCTACATTCTGCTGTAGCAGAGGAAAGGCTAGCGAGGCTTTTGATCTCATAGGCCTCGGATCATCGATGCTGAAAAAGTTCATGAAAAAATGTGAACAATGTTTTGTATTTGAAATGTACTTCAGTATACATCCTTGGTCTCAGATCCTTGGACTTATTCCAAACAAATGTTCCCATAAGGAGGGGAGAATGGTTAATCTGTTCTCAGGAGAGAAAATAATTATATTGTAATTGCCATATTGTTTGTTGAGGGGAATGTTGAATCAAATAATTTAAATACTGCTCAATACTAAAATACATACATGTAAAAGCAATTTGGAGAATTAAAGGATCATTGGAGCTAACTTGACTTTGTTGAGAGAAATTGACTGGGGTGTGATGTGCCCCGCCCTCCTCCTCTGGGTCCTGCAGATGCTCGGTGGTCAGCTCTTCCTTGTACTCCTCCACAACCACATTGTCATGACTCATTTTGACTCTTACGTTCACCTGCACACACGAGTCGTATTCCAAACAGAGGTTGTGTACCAAGCACAACTTTTTGCATCTAGACAGGACATAAACTAAGGTACTGTTGTATATGAAACTTAACTTGTGGCTGACAGCTAGCATTGTGGCCGACTCTGCAAATACTTTTGTTTCATTCCAGGATGCACTGCAAGCAGTCACACGTTCAGCCATACAGGAGGCCAGGATGAAAGACATCAAACAGGAGATCTTCAACTCCAGCAAACTCAAGGTACTCCATCTGTATCTGTCTTGTCTCCCCCTGCCCCTTCCCCTTCCCCCATAAAAAGATATCAAACTAAATACACACAAAAACACTTCATGGCTGACTTATCTCCGATATAAGTAACATTTCTCTCTGGCTCATGGGATAACTGACGCGTGTCTCGCCACTCAAAATAAATAAATACCGGCTAGAGAATGCTGAAAGTGACAAGGGCTGTCAATCAAAGATATTAGATCTGTCACTCTTATTATATGTAGGTGTGTGTATGCGCTCACATACAAAACAAAAACCGCTGCGAGAAAGATAGGTGTTAGGAAGGGCCGAATGTAAAGCAGGCCTGCGTGCCCAATTTGTGACCCCTTAAAAATAGTTTGTTCATTCATTCATTCCTCTCTGGGTGGTGTCACACTCTTTGTCTTGTGCTGTCTGTTTTCACTATTAGTGTAACAATATCCTCACCATCAATATTTTGTACACTTGTGAGAATGTTTATCTAGGGAGACACTCGGATACAAAATTGGCCACATATTTGGAGGGGAAAAAACCTTGTCCAAGACTTCACAAATGCTCACCAGTTAGAAGCTGTGGGTGACAGGGTGATTAAGTGCTGTCTGAAGTTGTGCTGGCAGGGTGATCAAGTGCTGTCTGAAGCTTGTGCTGGCAGGGTGATCAAGTGCTGCCTGAAGCTTGTGCTGGGAGGGTGATCAAGTGCTGTCTGAAGCTTGTGCTGGCAGGGTGATCAAGTGCTGCCTGAAGCTTGTGCTGTCTAAAGCTTGTGCTGGGAAGGTGATCAAGTGCTGTCTGAAGCTTGTGCTGGCAGGGTGATCAAGTGCTGTCTGAAGCTTGTGCTGGCAGGGTGATCTGGTGCTGGCAGGGTGATCTGGTGCTGGCAGGGTGATCAAATGCTGTCTGAAGCTTGTGCTGGCAGGGTGATCAAGTGCTGGCAGGGTGATCAAATACTAACAGTGCTGTCCATCTAACATGTCTTTTTTTTCTGTTTTAGTCTTACTTTGATGACAATCCTCACGACCTTCAAGCTCTTCGCCATGATAAACCTCTTCATTCTGTGAAAACTACAAAAGAGTTGAAGCATGTACCAGATTATATTGGTGGGTATTGTCAGATGGAGTGTGTGTGCCAGGCTAAACCAGCCAGTCATGTTCCTGTCTTTATTACTTTGACCCTGTGCATGATGACTTATGTCTGTCTTTGCAAGTATGTATATATATGTATGTATGTGTGATTGTATATGTGTGTGTGTGTGTGTATTTAGTGTGTATGTATGCATGTATGTTGGTGTATGTGTGCATGTTTAGGTGTGTATGTATGGAATTTGTTTATGCATGTATGTGTATATATGTGTGTGTGTTTTATATTTGTGCATGTATGTCTATGTATGTGTGTGTTTTATGTTTGTGTATGTATGTAGGTGCGTGTATGTATTACGTGTTTGTGCATGTATGAGAATGTAAGAGTATGTGTGCGTGCTGTGTGTGTTTGAGTGTGTCAGATTGTGAATACATGATGTGTATATGCATTATTCTATAATGTATATTTCTTTATTATATTGATAACAGGCATTGGTAATCTGAAAGATGAGTGCTTAGAAGGGCCGAATGTCAGACGGGCCTTCGTGCCTAATTTGTAACCTTTTGAAAATGAAGTTTGTTTGTTCGTTTGTTCTATACCTGTAGCTAGACCTGGAGACTATATACCTAACACATGTGTGTGCTTGTAGACCAAGAGACTATACCTAACACATGTGTGTGCTTGTAGACCAAGAGACTATACCTAACTCATGTGTGTGCTTATAGACCAAGAGACTGTATACCTAACACATGTGTGTGCTTGTAGGCCAAGAGACTGTATACCTAACACATGTGTGTGCTTGTAGACCAAGAGACTATACCTAACTCATGTGTGTGCTTGTAGACCAAGAGACTATACCTAACACATGTGTGTGCTTGTAGACCAAGAGACTGTATACCTAACACATGTGTGTGCTTGTAGACGAAGAGACTATACCTAACTCATGTGTGTGCTTGTAGACCAAGAGACTATACCTAACACATGTGTGTGCTTGTAGACCAAGAGACTGTATACCTAACTCATGTGTGTGCTTGTAGACCAAGAGACTGTATACCTAACTCATGCGTGTGCTTGTAGCTAAGCCAAGAGACTGTATACCTAACTCATGTGTGTGCTTGTAGGTAAGCCAAGAGACTGTATACCTAACACATGTGTGTGCTTGTAGACCAAGAGACTGTATACCTAACTCATGTGTGTGCTTGTAGACCAAGAGACTGTATACCTAACTCATGCGTGTGCTTGTAGCTAAGCCAAGAGACTGTATACCTAACTCATGTGTGTGCTTGTAGCTAAGCCAAGAGACTGTATACCTAACTCATGTGTGTGCTTGTAGCTAAGCCAAGAGACTGTATACCTAACTCATGTGTGTGCTTGTAGGTAAGCCAAGAGACTGTATACCTAACTCATGCGTGTGCTTGAAGACCAAAAGACTGTATACCTAACTCATGCGTGTGCTTGAAGACCAAGAGACTGTATACCTAACTCATGCGTGTGCTTGAAGACCAAGAGACTGTATACCTAACTCATGCGTGTGCTTGAAGACCAAGAGACTGTATACCTAACACATGTGTGTGCTTGTAGGTAAGCCAAGAGACTGTATACCTAACTAACATGCGTGTGCTTGAAGACCAAGAGACTGTATGTCACTAAGATAAGCTCAGTGATATTAAGTTCCAATGTATAACTGGACTATGTCCTATAACTGGACTATGTCCTATAACTGGACTATGTCCTATAACTGGACTATGTCCTATAACTGGACTATGTCCTGCTAAATGACACATACTTTTTGTGAGGCAACATTTTACTGCTAGTGGAGACTTTTAAGTATTAGGAGAGAGGTCTTGGTGGTCCTAGATTTGTATCATTGATTACTGCAAGTATGTGTTATACATTGAATTATCTTGATGGCACTCCTGAAACATCCAGTGCTCAGACTCCCTGCTGCCTCCAGCATTTTGCCAGTAATTGTCCCAGTGGTGTGCTGGTTTTGAGTACTTCTTGAGTGTGCCTCTCATGCTTGGCTTGTCTGATTTTTACTGCCAGTTCTCACATTCAAAGCAGTGATGTGGACACACTGCTTCCACAATCCTCTGATCATCCTATCTCTCTCGGAGCATTAACACTGTCTCACATTCCATAGGCTGGCCATCTGCAGCTGAGGCAGTACCAGCCAGTCTGTCAGCTCTTTAATCGCCAGTGACACCTGCTTACCTTGGCACAAACATAAAAGTAACTGCATCACACACAGTGCAGTCTCACAGTAAACAGAGATGTGTGTGGCAAGAATCAACTTGTCAGTCACTGAATGGAAAGTCATCACTAAACTTGTGTGTTTGTTGTTGTTTGAAACAGTCCCTCAAGCACTGCGCAAACAGACCAGAAACAACAAAGTTCAGAGTGCTGCACGCAGTCAGAGACCTGCAGCCGGTAAATCCACAACTAAAGGTGGCAGAACATTTAGGGTTAGTGTGTTGTTGTCTCTTTTTTGTTTAATTCTTATTATTCTCCACTTTCTATGTTACCACTTTTGGCAATGATGGAGATGTAAGGTTTTGATTTTATGTGTAGAGGGAAATTTATGGTCTGACTTTGGGTGTTGGGGATGTAAAGTTTGATTTTGGGTGTTGAGAGAGATGCACGTTTTTGAATGTTGAGGGAGATGCACATTTTTGAGTGTTGAGGGAGATGCAGGTTTTTGATTTTGAGTGTTGAGGGAGATGCAGGTTTTTGATTTTGGATGTTGAGGGAGATGTAAGGTTTGATCCCAGAATGCTCGCCTGTAATTTCATGGTGTGGCTGTGGTTATGACTGCAACCTGTCAAAAAGTGATTATATTTTTTAAGAAACTGCAACAATTGTCAGTTCTGTCTCCACTTTCATGATAATGAACTTGTGTTTTCTGACTTTGTCATCCACATCTGTCCCCGTGGTACTTGTCTAGATCCATAGTTCTGTGGCAAACTTTTTGCTGTATTGTCATGAAATATATTGGTGAAATGGGATCCCTGAGAACCTTCATAAAGAAGTTTGCCATTAACTTTGACACCTGGGCTAGAACTCCTTTTGATCACTGTCCTTCTTTCTTTCTGTGTAGTATCTAACAGATGACAGTGACAGAAGTATCTCATTTGAAAAGGAAACATCTGTTTGGCCTCTGTGTAGTTAGTGACATGACAGTCAAATAAGTATCTAAAACATTCTAAAATGTCACATTTGTTTAGCCTCTGTGTGGTAGACTCTTCCTGGCACCAATTAGTGAAATCAATTACCTTTGACCCCAGCTAGAAAAGATCTGTGTGGAATAGCCCACTGCAGGAACTTACTGATTGAGTTGACATGTAAACAAATCATGACTGACACACTGTAGGCATTGATTAATCAGGCACGTTGAGAGAGATATGGCTGGTGTTTGTGATCCATTTAACTTGTCTGATTTCTTCACACAGAAACGGATGGCTGACCCACTAAAGAGTTTCCAATTTGCTGGGCTGAGTGACACAAAAAAGAAAAAGAAACAAAACAAATAAAATGTTGTGTATATAACCTGTGTTCTTTGATGTGTGAGTGAGAAAGGTGGAAAGTTGATCTTGGGTACAACTAGTTTTGTTACACAGAGATGGAGAAAGTTAACATAAGCCAGTTTTGTCAGTCTGAACATGTGTGGATCATTGTTAGCTCCAGCTGGTTCTCACAAAAGAAGCAACATGGCTTCATTCATTCATGTAGCAGGTCCTTTGCAGAACATAGCTCTCATCACAGTCTGCCTGTAAGAAACTCGGCCTCTTGCCAGTTCTCCCGCCTCATGAACTTTCACACTGAAGGAGTCACTTATATCCTGTGCCCATCTTCGTGTCGGTCGGCCCCTGCCCCTCCTTCCGCAACATGGCTGCGAGGTTCAAATTTATGACAAACAGACCTGTCAGCTGATGTGTGGATAAAGGTCCCTTGTGTCAGCTGATGTGTTGATAAAGGTCCCTTGCATCAGCTGATGTGTTGATAAAGGTCCCTTGCATCAGCTGATGTGTTGATAAAGGTCCCTTGTGTCAGCTGATGTGTGGATAAAGGTCCCATGTGTCAGCTGATGTGTTGATAAAGGTCCCTTGTGTCAGCTGATGTGTTGATAAAGGTCCCTTGTGTCAGCTGATGTGTGGATAAAGGTCCCTTGTGTCAGCTGATGTGTTGATAAAGGTCCCTTGTGTCAGCTGATGTGTTGATAAAGGTCCCTTGCATCAGCTGATGTGTTGATAAAGGTCCCTTGTGTCAGCTGATGTGTTGATAAAGGTCCCGTGTGTCAGCTGATGTGTTGATAAAGGTCCCTTGTGTCAGCTGATGTGTGGATAAAGGTCCCTTGTGTCAGCTGATGTGTGGATAAAGGTCCCTTGTGTCAGCTGATGTGTTAATAAAGGTCCCTCGTGTCAGCTGATGTGTTAATAAAGGTCCCTTGTGTCAGCTGATGTGTTAATAAAGGTCCCTTGTGTCAGCTGATGTGTGGATAAAGGTCCTGTGTGTCAGCTGTGTTGATAAAGGTCCCTTGTGTCAGCTGATGTGTTGATAAAGGTCCTGTGTGTCAGCTGTGTTGATAAAGGTCCCGTGTGTCAGCTGATGTGTTGATAAAGGTCTCTTGTGTCAGCTGATGTGTTGATAAAGGTCTCTTGTGTCAGCTGTGTTGATAAAGGTCCCTTGTGTCAGCTGATGTGTTGATAAAGGTCCCTTGTGTCAGCTGATGTGTTGATAAAGGTCCCGTGTGTCAGCTGATGTGTTGATAAAGGTCCCATGCATCAGCTGATGTGTTGATAAAGGTCCCTTGTGTCAGCTGATGTGTTGATAAAGGTCCCTTGTGTCAGCTGATGTGTTGATAAAGGTCTCTTGTGTCAGCTGTGTTGATAAAGGTCCCTTGTGTCAGCTGATGTGTTGATAAAGGTCCCTTGTGTCAGCTGATGTGTTGATAAAGGTCCCGTGTGTCAGCTGATGTGTTGATAAAGGTCTCTTGTGTCAGCTGTGTTGATACAGGTCCCTTGTGTCAGCTGATGTGTTGATAAAGGTCCCTTGTGTCAGCTGATGTGTTGATAAAGGTCCCGTGTGTCAGCTGATGTGTTGATAAAGGTCCCATGCATCAGCTGATGTGTTGATAAAGGTCCCTTGCATCAGCTGATGTGTTGATAAAGGTCCCTTGCATCAGCTGATGTGTTGATAAAGCTCCCCACTTTTTGGCCTATTTGGAATATAGTACTAGACCTATATGTTTAAGGACCAGCTGGCACTTGGTGAGTGATGTGGTCAGCATCATGCTGACCGCCTTTACTTCCCAGAACTGCACCTGCTACCCACTCAAGGCTGGGTCAACCTGAGAGTCAAATGTCATGTTCTTTGATGTGTGAGTGAGAAAGGTGGAAAGTTGATCTTGGGTACAACTAGTTTTGTTACACAGAGATGGAGAAAGTTAACATAAGCCAGTTTTGTCAGTCTGAACATGTGTGGATCATTGTTAGCTCCAGCTGGTTCTCACAAAAGAAGCAACATGGCTTCATTCATTCATGTAGCAGGTCCTTTGCAGAACATAGCTCTCATCACAGTCTGCCTGTAAGAAACTCGGCCTCTTGCCAGTTCTCCCGCCTCATGAACTTTCACACTGAAGGAGTCACTTATATCCTGTGCCCATCTTCGTGTCGGTCGGCCCCTGCCCCTCCTTCCGCAACATGGCTGCGAGGTTCAAATTTATGACAAACAGACCTGTCAGCTGATGTGTGGATAAAGGTCCCTTGTGTCAGCTGATGTGTTGATAAAGGTCCCGTGTGTCAGCTGATGTGTGGATAAAGGTCCCTTGCATCAGCTGATGTGTTGATAAAGGTCCCTTGCATCAGCTGATGTGTTGATAAAGGTCCCTTGTGTCAGCTGATGTGTTGATAAAGGTCCCTTGTGTCAGCTGATGTGTTGATAAAGGTCCCTTGTGTCAGCTGATGTGTTGATAAAGGTCCCTTGTGTCAGCTGATGTGTTGATAAAGGTCCCTTGTGTCAGCTGATGTGTTGATAAAGGTCCCTCGTGTCAGCTGATGTGTTGATAAAGGTCCCTTTTGTCAGCTGATGTGTTGATAAAGGTCCCTTGTGTCAGCTGATGTGTTGATAAAGGTCTCTTGTGTCAGCTGTGTTGATAAAGGTCCCTTGCATCAGCTGATGTGTTGATAAAGGTCTCTTGTGTCAGCTGTATTGATAAAGGTCCCTTGTGTCAGCTGATGTGTTGATAAAGGTCTCTTGTGTCAGCTGTGTTGATAAAGGTCCCTTGTGTCAGCTGATGTGTTGATAAAGGTCCCTTGTGTCAGCTGATGTGTTGATAAAGGTCTCTTGTGTCAGCTGATGTGTTGATAAAGGTCTCTTGTGTCAGCTGATGTGTGGATAAAGGTCCCTTGTGTCAGCTGATGTGTTGATAAAGGTCCCTTGTGTCAGCTGATGTGTTGATAAAGGTCCCTTGTGTCAGCTGATGTGTGGATAAAGGTCCCTTGTGTCAGCTGTGTTGATAAAGGTCCCTTGTGTCAGCTGATGTGTTGATAAAGGTCCCTTGTGTCAGCTGATGTGTTGATAAAGGTCCCTTGTGTCAGCTGATGTGTGGATAAAGGTCCCTTGTGTCAGCTGTGTTGATAAAGGTCCCTTGTGTCAGCTGATGTGTTGATAAAGGTCCCTTGTGTCAGCTGATGTGTTGATAAAGGTCCCTTGTGTCAGCTGATGTGTTGATAAAGGTCCCTTGCATCAGCTGATGTGTTGATAAAGGTCCCTTGCATCAGCTGATGTGTTGATAAAGGTCCCTTGCATCAGCTGATGTGTTGATAAAGCTCCCCACTTTTTGGCCTATTAGGAATATAGTACTAGACCTATATGTTTACGGACCAACTGGCACTTGGTGAGTGATGTGGTCAGCATCATGCTGACCGCCTTTACTTCCCAGAACTGCACCTGCTACCCACTCAAGGCTGGGTCAACCTGAGAGTCAAATGTCATGTTTTAAGGGGAAAAACTGGCTCTGCTCGGGCACAAACCCATGACCTTCTGATCAGCCAGCAGGCGTCTAGCCACCAACACTGCTGAGACTTCCCTTAAATGTTGTTGCTAGACTTATATTTAACAGAGGATTAATTTCTAGGGAAATGAACTGTCATCAGTAATAAGACAAGGAACCTTGAGGAGTTATGACAGGAGGAGAGATGGTGTGTCAGAGACCACGGCTTGGTACTATAGATATCGCAACCCTTAGGCCTTGATTCCATAATAGATGCAATAAATCTGGGAAATATGTGTTAATCTACATATTCCCCAAGCGTGAACTCGAACCACAAGGAGTTTGTCACCTGGTCGCTGCACGGCTGGTTTTAACCAACTAAGCTAGCATGCCTGGCAAAACACAGACTGATATACAGCTAGGAGGTGGTTCAATGTCTTCATGATGATTCTGTCATAGCATGTCACACAGTGCTTGCAGTTTATTTTTCCATTCAATTCTATCCTTACAATTGTCTCAAAGCCATGGATAGAGTCCACTCCAGAAGCTTTGGTCTCCTCAGTCCACTTTCTCCCATTTAGGTGCCTGTCTGGTGATTCTGCGTGTCTGTCTCTATTGTGTGTCCACCATCATCTTTGTCTTATATACTATATTTTTTCTTATCTCTTCACCTTTCTTGTTCATTAGTTTCTTCACGAATTAGTTTTGAACGCATTCAACTTTGATTCCATGTCTTTGATGGTTCTCCACCTGCCACATGTTAAAACTGAAGTTACGTAAGAAATGAACAAAATTACTTGGTTTGAAAAGTATAAAGTTCCATTTTCTCCAGGCTGCTGCTGTCTGTTTTGTGTGGTAATCTTCAGTTCAATTATCTTTCAACTGATCCTGTCACTGCTACTTATCTTGATGTTTGTCAGCTCACAGCTGGTACATCTCTGCTGTAGTTCTCTAGTGCATCCTGCAGTGGTTCCAGAGAAGATAATTGTGAAAATGGCTGTCATATTTTGTCCCGTGGTCAGATGGTTTCCCTTCTCATTTTGATAACTGTTTGTACGATACAGTGGAGGTTAGTTAGTTGGTGGCTCTTTTTTCCCCACAAGGTTTGAGCCAGAATACATCAAATGAAACCCACCAAACAACACCTCTGTCATGGGGAAAACCCAACAAATAACACCTCTGCCTTGAGGAAACCCCAACAAATAACACCTCTGCCATGAGGAAAACCCAACAAATAACACCTCTGCCATGAGGAAAACCCAACAAATAACACCTCTGCCATGAGGAAAACCCAACAAATAACACATCTGCCTTGAGGAAAAACCCAACAAATAACACCTCTGCCTTGAGGAAAACCCAACAAATAACACCTCTGTCATGAGGAAAACCCAAAAAATAACACCTCTGCCATGAGGAAACCCAACAAATAACACATCTGCCATGAGGAAAACCCAACAAATAACACATCTGCCTCAATGTCCATGATGTAGAAGTGTAGACACTACCCAGCAGGAAAGATTTAATGAGTTCGTCGTGGGA